AACAAAAAATATTGGGAATAATTAAGTTTAGTGATATCTGAAAAGGATATGTTTTAGGTCTAAGTATCTGAATGACATAAATTTGAGTCCTCAAGCCCATAATTAGTAATAGTGCTATATTTTCATTTTGTTCTGGACCAAAAGGGCTCCTCGCCACACTTCACCGAGTTTCCATACAACATACAAGTTGTTTAAAAAGGGATTACTTGACAAGATTGTTAAGACTCTGAAGAAAAAATAAGAAGAAAAACGGAAAAAGCACTTGTATCATATAACAGCCTTTGCTTCACCTCAAGAACCATGCTCTTCATTCAACATGTAATGAAAACGCTGAATATATTAGGATTAGAGAATAACGAAAACAACCGCGTTCTGTGGCAAATACAGTGTAGTTCCATGATTTACTTAAGTTGTATAGAAAATGATATTGAGGTCAACTTTACTTCCATGATAGCCTTTTTTTTTACTCTGACTCTTGATGAAGCTATATCTTCACTTTCTTATGTTTAGAAATTCTTAGACTGGCAATCGGCATTTCATGTAATCGGTTAAGTTTCACATTAGTGGACGAATCGAAGAGGAAGGACCTCAAAACACGATGTCAATTTGTTTAGTTTTTCGAGAGTTCGATTAAAATTCTAAGAATTTGGTTTCGCAATCGATAGGCGTACTTATTCATGAAAGTGATATGTAGAAATAAACACCTTGTTCCCGTGTCGCGCTATGCTGACGTGTCCAGATGATCATCATAAAAAATTGCTTATTGTTTACCAATTGTTCATTCACTCGGTTTAATAAAACTGTTCTTCAGGATCATGACAGAATCGATCTTTTCGCTAGGTTCTAACGAAAGTGAGGACATATTGCAAAATTTTCAAATAATTGCCCACTTTGGTCGAATAACCATTCCCTTGTTAACTGCCCGGTATTTTTTTACCCATCAACCGCTTCAACACTGTGGCAATTTTTAAATAAGTTTTCAAATATCTACAGTCAAGAAACCTATTTTGTTATCATTTTAAGAGATGCACTTCTCTGATCTTAAGTGTGGTAGTCTATTTTGAGAGTAAACTAGTCTGTGATCAGGCGAATACACTGTGATCAAACACAATTGTGAACATGAAATCAACATGCAAATTTGGTTTTTGCAGAAAATACTTTTTTTTTTTAATTTTTCTTTTATAATTTTGTCACAGAAAATATATTCTATCTGATTTCACTATATCCTCAAGTGCAGGCCTTTTTTTGGTGAGTGCGACCTTTGTTGCTAAGAATAGTGGTGGGGTGAAAAAGAAGCCAATGATAATCTTAGAAGAGTTTTTTTTCCGTTTTAGTTTCAACAAGCGGCGCCAGCGACTGGCAGGCATGCAAGGATTCACACTGAAATAACAGAACAACCTTCGTTTTGCATAAAATTGTAATTTACAATCCTTGAACTTGAAAACAATCCGAAGATTCTTTGAAAATATCATTTACTGCGAAGCGTTCGTAGTTTACAGATGTTCAAAAGCTTTTTCTGTTATGGCGTGAGATTGAGGACAAAATCGATCATTACGTTTCGTATCGTGTGTTTTTCCTGTGTGAAGCAACAAAAGATGCCGGCGACTGACGAAATTACAAGTAAACACGAAAATCAAATAACACCTAAACAAACAATTTTAGCTACCGATTTTCAGTGAATTTTTAAAGAACACTTTTCTTTTAAGTTTCAAGATAATTTGAAGGTTCAAAATACATATTACGTACTAAAATGCGAAAGTTATACACCACAAAATTGATAAATAGGCCTAAAATGAAATTTTATTTTGTTATTGATTATACGTTGCCTAGCACGTGACAAAAATCTACCCAGGCGGAGATCCAAAATGACGGTAGCAGTCTTGACTTAGTTATATCACTCAAAACTCGTTCCCGTTTGTCTCATTTGATAAAGAGTGAATCGTTTATGTTTTTTATTAAGACAGTATTGCTTTGATTTTCTAATATTTACAATGATAGACAGCAAATTTCACTTTTCACCCACATTTACTTCCAACCTTTTCTTTTGAACCAGAAACAAAAATTATATATGTTTAAAACACATGACATCATCCACCCTTGTCAAATGTAATCGCATGATCATTTCAATTGTAATGCCTTCTTATCCCAACGTTACTTTATTTCTTTGCTACATTAGCGAACACTGAACTACTGCTCGTACTCTAGATATGGCAATCATCCACAAAATTCCCTAAACCAGATAACATTAAACATTATCCAAAAAATTATGTGTCAATTCACGAGTTTGCTCACAGAGCACTTTGATTAGGTAAGTTGGCAAAAATCCATAGTTAAGAAACCCATTTTGTTATCATTTTAAGAGATGCGCTTCTCTGATCTAAGTGTGGTAATCTATTTTGAGAGTAAACTAGTCTGTGATCAGGCTAATACACTGTGATCAAACACGATTGTGAACATGAAATCAATATTCAAATTTGCTTTTTGCAGAGAAAATACCTTTTTTATTATTTTTTCTTTTATAACTTCGTCACAAAAAAGATATTTTAGCTGATTTCTCTGTACCCTCAAGTGCAGGCCTTCTTTTTGGTGAGTGAGAGCTCATTTTCTCTTCCTGAAAAATTTGACCATCGCTTATAATTATTAGACAGAGGAAGGTTACACAATCGTGACGACTTTAACTTCTTCGAGGGGACTGAGCTAATTTGAGTCTCGGGAAACATCAGAACTCTCGGGAAAACAAAACTGTTTCCAAATTTCTATAAAAACGCAAAGTAACTAACTTGTCGAGCTGTGTCAAGCTTATATTTCTTGCTGTACAGTAACAGTGAAAGAACTTAAGAACTCTCGAATAAATTTACCCAAACTAATTGCCGAGAAGGAATAGTTGCAATGTTTTAGCCTCAAGAAAATGACAAACAGGATCTCATTAAGAAGGTTATTGATTATTTCATTTACCTGAGGACGAAAACCACTTAAAAAGTTTGTAAATCACTTGCCTCTAGCTCATGGTATTCAACCTTTTCTTGTGTTCTCCATAAAAATTATAAAAGTTGATACCAACATTCTGTATGCACTTAGGAGGACGATCTTGAATTAAAAAGGGCGTTTTACTATGTGCACAGAACCAGTGATTATATATTCTTTCCAACTTTTCAACATCCTCTTTTCCTGGAAGGAATCATTTAAAACTCTGATATTATTATTGTGTCATGCCTGGGTATGTCAAAGACAATGACAATGACAATGACAATGATTCCAAAAGAAAACAAACCAGTACTCGTTATTAGATGACAGTACTCGACACAGGGACCGTTACACCTTTAAGTGATGTTTTTTCTACCTGTTGAATAATTATCCATCTTAACTAATGTCGCAGTTTTTGTCTGGTTCTAAATTCACTGAGTGATAGAACTTACTTTGGAACCAGAACTATCATCCTTTCCTGAAAAGATCATAATTTGATGTATAAGTAACACTTTTCATTGAAAGTGTCAAAATCAGATAAATCTCCATTACGGGAAAAATAAGAAGCAAGGGAACTCTTACAGTTCGGAATGATGAAATGTTCCCCTTTGCAATTTTATCACGATTTAATTATTCCAACCAAATGATTGGTAACAGGTAAAGTATCATTCAGATCAAAGCCAGAGAAATATTAACCCTTAAAATCAGTTTTTTTTGCCCTTAAAGAAAAAAGATTATCACACACTTAGGTTAGATCTTTTTAAAATGAACTCCACCAACCTTGACGCCAGCATTTCCATCCACGCCATGCATACCTGGTTCACCTTTCTCTTCCTGGATAATCATGATTTTTGATGAAATGAATTGAAGTAACTTCTCAGTAACCATGACAACAATTTCATGGAAACGACCAGTATGAAGAGGTACGTCATTAGAAGTTCTACCCATATGTATTCCTAGAATATGGATTCAGTGTCATTTCTTCAATGATCAGAATGTCACCTTTTTGGTTTAAAAAAATAATCTCTGCTCCAACTGTCCCATCGCGTCCATTTCATCCTATATTGAAAACATTGGAGATCAGTTCAAAATGTGAAAATGCAGAAAAACACCAACAGCAACAAGTGATTTTTTAATTTCAATTTTGTTAATATTTCACATTTCACATATGCCTTCGTTTCTAAAAAGATTTCATTATTCAACAAAAGTTTCAGTTATTCACACCCAGTAATTTGATATTGTCGCTGTTCCATGGCTCTGTTGAGTTTTTTTCGTGACAAACGAGAAGTGGACATTTTCAGTTCAAGTTTTTTTGTAATCAAATTTAGGGGTTATTTAGAAAAATCACACGCTAGACAAAACGCAAAATTCTCATGCTTTCACTCAAATTTCGATGCAAATACAATCTCTTTAAACCAGGTTATTAATTTGATTACCTGGCTAGTAGATTTGTTCTGTGATTTTGCGAAGGAACTCAAGGCAAGAGCTAACACAAAGAATAAACGAAACATTCCCACTCTGCGCTCTCCGATATGAAATGGCAGACGAATAAGTCAACATAAAGAGAGGGACTTTCCTGCTCTGTTTATTTTGCCTCATAACTGGAAAATTCAGGATGTTCAAAAGCTTTTGTCATCACTGACGTTTGCAATGCTTAATAAGAATTTGTAGTTTATGGATTGTAATATGCTAACTGAACGACTGAATTAACTTCTTGTATCTGCTTAAAGCATCGTTATATTGTACAGTAATCTGATGAATAGGACTTTGACCCCTATCAGTGAAGGTGATTTGTTTGGTCTTCAGTAAATATTCATTAATCAATGTAGTCGAAAAAAGTAATATTTTGATCTGTGAAAGGAAAGTGTCCGTAGAGAGAATTTTCCTTGCTTTACATTATTTTGCGAAATTTTCACAAATGGGATAATTGATATAAAAAGAAAATTGTCGTTTGCTAATATTGAATATCCTGAGTTGACTGAGAAAGACAGGAATTTTTGGAAAACTGAAAAGGTTTTACTTGAAATTGTGGTTGCTTAATTAGTAAATGTACCGAGTAAGCAGAGGGCGGACGCAGCGCACACTTCGCAAGCGCTTTGGATGCAATCGAGGCTCAGCTCCAGAACGAGGTATACCGAGTTACATGTGTTCGCGGAAGGTGTGAGCTGAAAATCCTCCTCAATGCAGGTAGGGGAGTGTTGGATTGATACAGAAATCGACGTAGTGTTGTACAAAACATTTAAACTTAATAGTGTGGGCTCTTCCCATGAGTGAGGCTAGGCTCATCGAGATATGTTAAATCTGTGGGCAGCGCGCGATTCAATAGCATTATTGATTAGTCTTGATTTATACGAACGCACGTAACGGATCACTCAAGGTTTCTTGTAAACCAGACGTAACCTTGAGAGGCCTTGTGCATTGAAGTAGCGGTTTCAAATTGTGTCAATAAACCAAGATACTTCATATACTGGCGATACTGTTAAGGAGATCAACATCGATAGCTGATATACATCTGGCATATGTGTGTTAAGGCTGTAATCTCCTCGAGCTAAACCACACATGCTGCACAAACTAGTCTTTTTTTTCAACCAACCAACAAGGATACTGGAAGAAACACATGAATAAATATACATGAACAAAGTGCACACAAAGGGCGAACAGAGACCGAGAGTCAATTTCGAAGCTTGCTTGGCAACTTATTTCAGTATTAAGATGTCAGTTTCTAATTTTCAGCAAATGAAATGCTTTAAAAGTAAGACAGTAATGCCCTGTTTTATTGGCATCTTTTTTGTCTGCAAAACTATTGAGGAATCCTGATCGCAGTGAAAACAAACATAAGCTTGCTTGGCAACTCATTTCAGTATTAAGATGTCAATTTTCAATTTCCAATTTTCAGCAAATGAAATGCTTTAAAAGTAAGACAGTAATGCCCTGTTTTATTGGCCACCTTTTTTGTCTGTAAAACAATTGGGGAATCCTGATTGCAGTGAAAACAAACATAATTCTTGACCCTGAGCCCTAAGTCTGTGTTCTAGTACTTTAAACCTGATAATTCTTGTATCTCTGTAGAAGCGCATCAAGTTACCAGTGACTGCTCTGAATGAGCACATTATCTGCAAATTATGCAATGGATATCTCATCGATGCAGCAACTATCACAGAATGTTTGCACACTTGTAAGTAGATTGTACTAGTCTGATATATATATATATATATATATATATATATATATATATATGAATATGACTGTATACCTTTATGTAAGATTACCAATGTATAACTATTAATAATATTAATTTTGTAATCTTAGCGAGGTCCAAAGATATCAAAATTAACCCCTTTTCTAGCTTCCACTGCAGAAATTTCCTCATAACTTGATTTGGAGAATTTATTTATATTTAGATGCAAATTATTCTCCTCAAGTTTCTCTATCCTCATCAGATTTTTCTTAATATGATGTATTGATATTGTTAGGAGAAGTTAGTTAGTAATTTCTCCAAGGAGTTGAAAGGTGAATTTACCATTAGCATTTGGCAAAGCTTTTTTTTGAAGCCACAGCATACTGCACCTTTTTGCTATATTGTGTTTTTAAAAGCTTGTGAGGATGAGAAGTTATTTTCATTACTTTTACATGATCTTGGTGCTAAAGGTTCAATATAAGCAGGATTTGGGACTCTTGGTTTGTGAGCAGTGCATAGGCAGTGGGAGCATATCGGTCAAGTAAAGGATTGTTCACTTGAGTTTAAAATCCTGGCAACCAACTTTGCCAGCTTAGGCTTCCTTGCCCTGAAAAAATTGGACTTCTCTCTTCAATGAAAGTTTTTTTTTCCCATAAAATTTAGTTTGCAAGAGCTGCTTGGTAAGACATATTGAACTTGTGAATCGATGTCCAACATGTAACAATCAAATTCATGAATCACAGCCACTCTACAACATCAGGTACAACCAGATAATCTTTGATATGCTGATATAGTTAAATTTAAAACAAAATGAGAAAAAGCATTTTATATGAAAGTCGTATAAAGGATTAACAGATTATTAACTCACTCAGTAGTGTCACTTTGAAAAAAAGATTTTTTTTTCCTTAAATTGTCAGAGTATGCTTAGTGTACTTCAGAATCCATACAGTATATGTGTGTGATATCATAAGTATGTTGTGTGTGATGTGGTCATCTTCTATGACCTGATATACAACACATGTAAAACCTACATTAGTCTTTCATGTATACCAAACAAGGATTATAAAGAAAAAAGGAAAGCTGACCTCTTAAACTTTTTAGTTGTTCAGGGAGCTGGTTTCCTGTATCCATTTAATTTGAATTGTTGTAAATATTTTAAAATATTTTATGGATGCAACAAAGTGTGTTTTTGTTGTCAGTTATTAAGGTTATTGACTATTTACTTGAGGATTTTGATTCACCCAACATTTCCTTCATCTGTAAAGTTTTTATGTTTAGCTGTTAGTTATAATTTGGGTGTTGATAAAATTAAGCCAAGGGATAATAAATATTTTTCTCCAATGATAGGCTTGACAGAACCATGCAAGACATTGTTTACAAACTTCTTCCAAAAGTAGAGAAGGGTGCGTATACAAAATTGCACAATTAGATGTAACTATTGTAATATTCTATGGATTTTTTAATATCCTCTAAGTTGTTGAGTGCAATTTTTGTTACAGAGGAAAAACGCAGAGAGCGAAAGTTTTACAAAGACAGAGGAATGCCTTATCCAGACCCTAAAGGTAAAGAATTGTGCTTTTAATCAAACGAATAGTGATACATGTACATGCACATAAACTTTTTAATGCTCATGTTCCATCATTTGTTGTCCCAGATATTTTTTTGCAACATTAAGTGCTCTTTACCTGTAACAAAATCTTTTAAGAGAATCTCTAGTAACTTCATATACCTGGTGATTATTTAAGAAAGAGGTCAGCCTGGAAACAGTAATGAGGTGGGCTCAAACATGAAGTAACATGTATAGGAGATTGTCTCTCTTGTTATTGTGTTGTTTCTAGTTCTAGGTAGCCAAACACCTACAAGTGCAGGCTCAAGGCCATTAAAAGCAACAAAGAAAGATAAGGGAGCAGCATCTAAAACAAGTAAAACTACAAAAGTCAAAAGTTATCACAGAACAGATGAGCAAATCTCCCTTCAACTTGAGACATACCGGTCAGTTGAATTGAAGGCAGTTAATTTCTATGATAAAAGAAAAAATATTTCATTCTTTTGTTTACAGAAGAGGCTTGACAAAGGGAAGGGAAAGATGAAAAGGTTCTGTGAATGCTCTGCCAAGCCTGTCCCTATCTTCTCAAACCTATCTCCACCACTAAACCAAACTAAACAATGTTAATAGTGATGCTACACTAGTAATTACTGAGAGTTACAAGAAAGTGGAGTGCTGCCAAGTGGTTAATTTGGAATGAGGGAAGTGGGCTGAGTTAAATACTTAAAGGTGTAGTTGAGGGAGTGTGTAGAAGTGAACATCTTTTTGCTGTATTGCTAACATCATTTACATTACTGACAGTCTTCAAAAATTGTATTCTTACCTGAAATTATAATTTTAAAGTGCCGCTAACCCCCCAAATTATTTTTCAATAAAATAAATTTCCTTGTTTCTGTAGCTCACAGTATATTGACGTAGGATATCAGAATTCTGAACACTGTGTCAAACAGACAGGTCATGACGAGGAAGAATATTTACTGTCAACCAAGGGATTTTTGTTGGATATTTAAAACACCAAAGCAATGATTACTGGTTGGCTGACATAAAATTAATTATGTTAATATCATTACTTAGGAGAGTTAGCTTTTATTTGAATGCTAATATGACATGTAACTTGTGTTAGGGATGGAAGCATGTGTAGCTCAACAGAAATAGAGGTGAGAATACTTTGAATGATTGATTCATTACATCTACAGCACAAATGCATAACGTTATTGCTCTCCTTTCCTTTTCTATGCCTAGCTTCCTCTTCTTAGTTTGAATCTGAAAATGAATATTTATAGAGTATACAGTTGTATTTACTTTTTCTACTTGTCTATCATGTTTGATAATTGCTGGTACTCATACTCTCTACTTTTTAGCCTCTACCAAAGAAATTTATCAGGTTGTCAACACACGTCACCATTGGATTGCTTCAGAAGTTCTTGGCTTGGAAACTACACTTGGACTCTGAAAACATGGTGAGAAGAGTTCTGTATTAAGACATCAGAATTTTATTTGTTGCTAAACTGCTGGTATTTACTACTAGTACAGATAACAACAAAAACAAAACAGACTATTATTTTACTTGTAGTTGAAATGGTACCATGTATTTCTGACAGGAATCAATGCAACTTTGTAATTTTGTCCTTTCAGGTGGGCATCCTCTATGATAAAACAGAAATGGGAAGAGATCTTACACTGAAGTACATCAGTGATAATCTCTGTCCTCCAAAGGTAATTGCAGGTCTGATTTTCTAATATCACCTAAATAACATAGCAGGTCAAACAGCCATGCATAGGTACATGTACCTGATGATACCATCCACTTTACTGCAGTAATAAAGAGGGCCTACTTAGGTACTTATAAGGCATTACCCCTTAGTACCCATTCTTTTTCTGTCCTGGTTGTTATGGAACTAAAATGTTACATGTCATGTCCTTATATTTGCTAATCCTGCTGCTATTTCTTAAGTTTCTAAAGGAATTTTCCTGTTTTAGGAACACTCTGTGCCCTTGATTCTACATTACAGAGCTATGGATGTAAGCTTTACAAGATGACCGGTGTTGTATGGTCAACTCAAAATTGATTGTTGTCTAATGTTTTAGTAACGTTGTAGAAATAAATGTTTTGTAAAGCTTAATAACACTCCGGAGGAGTGACGATGTTCATACTTCATGAAGTTTGAAAAAGTTTAAAAAGTTCAACGTGCTAGCGTTTTATAATAGCTTGTGTTTCGCCATATCGATTACGGTTCAGTGTATTTAGTATTTATTCGTGATGAGTTCAGTCAACTTCATAAGAGAACAAATGAGGAAGAAATTCAGTAAGACTATTGTAGTTGCATTTATGTTGAATTTATGGAAAAACTCTTATTAAAAGAAAATTTGTCTTTTATCTTTCGCTTAAGGTTGAGCGACAGTATAACAGCAATAATCGCCGTGTTTAATATGAAAAATATGATAAGGAAACAAGTCATTTAAATGATTCCCATTTGTCCTCTCGCTTCCCCCGACTCCGCATTGGTGATGTAACCTAATTAAGTTTTGTGTTTTGTTGATTGTGGTTTAATTGAACCATCCTGAAGGTTACGGTATCCTTTTCATTGTTGAAGTCGCTCTGTCTACTGTCGAAACGTCAGCTTTAAAAACTCTTATAGTGGCCAATTCACAATGTCAACTCAACTGATTAAACCAAATTATCCTATGAGCTACACGTAGAATAATCTTCTTAAACGTAAAAAAACAAAAGATAGATTAGCCAAGAGCACAGGAAGCGACCGAACAAGCCCCCTGACCCAACCCTCTCAGCTAGTTTCCTCTCTCATTTCTGTGATTTGTCTTGGCGCTTAACGAGAGTTCGCCCAGTTTTCTTCATATGATCCTCAAGCAAGAACCCAAATAGAAGGCTCCGGAATTTCTTATCTCTCTCAATACCTCAGGAGATGCCGAGTTTTGTCTGTACCATAAACTGAGTACAGGTGTACCATACAGGTTGTGCTTGGGTGCTGCCCATGATCTATCAGATTACAATCGCACGACTTGTGTCATACAAAACACGTTGACTTGGCTTTCTCCAACGAGCCAAATCAACGAATATAATACACTCATCCGTGGATTTGTTTACTCATGAATCGCAGACAAAGTTGAATTGGGATGAAAACATCTTCAATTCACTTGCCCTGTAATTCGTTCCAGGCGCTCTCGCTCAATGAAGACGGGCAGAGCGCGAGCAATGCTTGGCAGTTGAAAATTGAGGGGTAGTCTTTACTTGAGTTATGACCTAGTTTTTGTAAGCACATTAATTCATAACTGAAAAGATTCTGGGTAAAATAAAATTGAATCTAGCCACCATTTGACTCTTCCACACCCTATTAAGATGAGGCAGAAGATCTCAGCTGAAATTTTCGAAGTTTCTAGATTTTTTGAGTTCATCATTTAACAACTAGATCTTTCCCAATTTCATCCATTAATATTCCTTCCTGGTGTATTGTTACCTCTGTTTTTTTCTTCTCTCACTGAACCATTCAGGATATCGTTTTAATATCTTTAGCAAACTTTGACAAGAGGCAGACAATTGAACAATTGACAGGTTGAAATAAAAAAGCATTTAATGACACACTTTTTCACAAAGTGAATACTTGTAACATTTGATAGATAATTCTCGCGGTTTTCTCGAACACCAATGCGTACAAGTAATAGATAACTGGTTGCTCCTCATAATTTATTGTGTTTCTACAATCGTTATACTTAAAGAAAAGAAAATATCTCTCCACTAAGAGAGAGGATAGTTTCTCTCCTTAAACATTCAAACGCAGATTCAACATGCGAAACACCTAACTGTCAAATCAGACTCCGTTCTGTCCGCTAACGTTACCACTTCATTGAAAGACACTCCTCAAACAAGTCTATGATTTACACACGCCGCTTATCTGACTGACGCTCTTAACTTGTTAAAAAAATATATTTCCAAACAACGAAGTACTTTCCAAAACACTTCACGACACGCCTATTAACAGCTTAAAACACTCGCTTATGAACACAAGCATAAAAATCTGAACAAAACAAACCGATACATCGGTGAAAGCTAGCACTGACTACTATAAGAGAAGATACATAGGCCCCATATCGACACTTCGCACCTATATACCTCGTAATACCTCTATCTTAATTCTCGAGCAAAATAAGACGCGGTAACAACATCAATGACACACTCGGCTGCACCCCGTGTGCCATTTCTTTTGTTCTTAAGGTAATTTAGTGTTATAAACTGAGTTGAAAACGTAAATTGGCCACCGTAAAGAGTTTAAAGGCTGACGTTTCGAGTACTAGCCCTCCGTCAGAGCGATTGCCGAGGGGCTAACGCTCGAAACGTCAGCCTTTAAACTCTTTACGGTGGCCAATTTACATTTTCAACTCAGTTGATGACACTAAATTACCTTGTTATACTCTCCAACCGACGCAGTGCCACAGTTTCTTAAGAAACCAACCCCCTTTACTTTTTTGTCTTTTGTTCTTGCCACACTTTGACGTCATCTTTAATCTTTTACTGCACAGACGCGGGCAAATAGATCTATTTTTTTATACATTGCGAATAGCAAAACCAATCAGATTGAAGCAACTATGTTATGTCGCTAGTAGATTGCTACTGACAGGTATTATTCCCAGGTTCAGATTGAGACCAATACTACATGGAACAAGTCTGACTGAAACTAAGTTTTCTTGCGAACTAGAAATAATTTTGCATGACCTTCATCACCGCCCGACATACTTGTTCAAATGAGGAATTAGAACAAAATACTCGTTACGTTAACTGATCCACTGTGTAGCGAGCCTGTTTCCTTCAGTTTAACCCTTCGATGCACTTTCATAGGTGCATGGGAAACTCTGTCGGAGAAACGTTTTCAGTTTTCCACCACCGATAGTTAACCTTGAGCTTACTGTGTATAACAATAGCATAGCTCAAACACTTGTTTCATTGCGAGGCTTTTCAGGCGTAGGAGGCTTCAGGTGCGGAATGGGTACAAATACTGCAGTTTTTGGTATATCAGGGGCCCACTCTTTCTTTGCGGGCTTAGGTCGCTCTTCTCGCCACGAAGACATGGATGACCGCGGAGTTCGCTCTTTTGGCGTTTCGCCTGGGCTTGATAGTACGTCTTTGACGTAATTTTTACGAGATTGTGATCGTTGTTCGGCTCCTGCACGGTTTGACCGACGTGATGTTCTAGTTTCAATACCAAGATTATGATGTATGTCACGCGCAATTTGATAAGGATTGCGTGACCTCCGACGAGAGACATGTATTCCGTTCGGCTTATCACGAGAGCCTCGTGGAGCATTTTGAGACCTGACTCCATTTTTATCGATTGGGACGTCTGGTCTTGTATCCGCGGTTGTTGAAATTTCACTGGATGGTAACGCCTGAGGTTGCTCACGCGGTCCTTCTCCAGCATATTGATCGTGCGCTCTTTCGACGGGTTCTGGCGATGGTCCATGAATGTTGTCATGTGCCATGTTTTGTTCGCCTCCTTTCTGTGATGAATCACTATGGACAAGGTTTTGCTCGAGTGGAACTGGAAGGTGGTCGTAAGGTCGATCAGCTGGCGGCTGGTCTCGTGGTATGTGATCACGAGGTCCCTGATATAGCTCTGGTGGCTTACTGGGGTCGATAGGTATGTGACTAAGTTCAAGTGACCTCTGCGGCTGATCATGTGACCTTTGCCCCACATTATCTTGAGGCACTTGATAATTCTCATATGCCCTGGGAGAAGATGCCAAGTCACGTGCCATCTGATAAAGGTCGTGCACCTTGTGAGCGGGACTTTGATCACGTGCAAGGTGATAAAAGGTCTGGCCTTGGGTCTGACTTGGTATTTGGTTAACATTAAAAGTTCTCGGATCCAAATTCTGATCCTCGGGTATTTTGAAATGATCAGGTGATACTTGTAACTGATTGTGTGGGTTATGACCGAAATTTTGCCCTCGTGGGCCTTGATATTGATCGTGCCCTGGGTGTAATACGTAATGATCCCTCCTGCTCGTGGGAAGAGGAAGTATTTGGTAATGGTCACGTGGTTTTTCCGAAAATGCCCGTGGTTCATATGGAATGTGATACCGTTCCCGCACTACGACATGATCACGTGGGATGTCACGCGGGATGCTGGTTGTGGTTTCTGGAATTGTATAATGAGTGAGGAGATCTTGAGTGTCAGATGCTGATGTGGGGACTGCTTGAACACCAGGGAGCGGACTTCGATTTCTCTTTGATGGAATTGGGGGCGCTACGTCAGAGCCTTGAGAAGAGGATCCGGGGACTGGAGGTCTCCTTTTCATTGGCGGAATTTCTATTGGAACAGACGCTTCAGATGCTGAACAAGACGTGTTAGCATTGCGTGACACAGGCTCCACACAGACTTGTTCGTCACGTACTGATGTGCGGCCTTCAGATGGAGCAGCATTAGAGGCAGTGTCCGTAGGCAGCTGAACACTTGATTCTACGGAGCTTGCTGTCCCCTCAGGTGGGGCGAGAGGTGCACGACGATCGTCTTGTGAAATAGGAAGACGGACGTTTCCACTATAGCTGTGTCGATGTCCTGGCGGATGCTTAAGAAGCCGCCCTCGGGGTTTGTGTGGCTGAGGAAGAGGAGCAGAGATACATGACTGTTTATCTGACACCGATGGTGCTTTGTCAGTTAGAGCATCAGTTTCTTTTGCCGTTACACAATCTTTCTTTTCGATGGTAATGACTGCTGAATACGGCAAGGACACATTTGACTGGGAATCTTCATCTGGCGAGAGAGGATTTTTAGCACCATGAATTTCACCCCCAGCGAATTCTGCTGCGGCTCCATTTCCGGTTTCAGCTGCCGTTTTAGCCGATGAAGTTTCATCAGAGGAGCAGGCTTGAGGACTTTCTTGTTGTAAGTGATATTCCTTTTTCGGTAAGCACTGACATTTGCAACAATACTTTTTCCAGAAAAGTCGAGTCTTTTCCTTTCTGTAACAGTAAAATACGAAGACAAGGAACCCCAAAATAATCAGAGCCAACGCAAACACGCAACTCAGTATAACGTACCAGGTGCGGGAATGTTGGTAACGAATCATGAAGACTCCTCCAACCACACTGGCGATAATGAACAATAAAATAATACAGCTTCCCCTTAGTTGATCAAGCATTTCGTGTTTATCTGGCAAAGATGATTTGTCCACGTTATCACCGACCTCATCCGGATTTTCCAAAGGTTCACTTTGAATGACGAGCGCGTTTTCTTCTGCTGTGATATCAGCATCGTGTTCTTGACTGGTTTGCAGTGCAACTGTTGTTTCATATGCAATTTTCATTAGATTGTACACGCGGAGGAATACGAACAAATCTATGAGCACAATCAAACATGCGGGACCCACAAATCCTCCATAAAAGGGATGTAGCCTCAACCAACAACTGCAGGGCAAGACAAAAGAAACTTGGTCAATACAAAATCATTGTTATCTATAGTAAGTTTCTATTGTAGTTGAGACACTTTGTCTCAAAGACAGCTGTGATTTAAACATGTACATTATTCTCCATGACATCATGTTACCTCTTACACCCCAATTCAGTATTAAATAAGAACACAGTCTTGGGTATTAAAAAAAGAAAAAGAAGATGGGAAAAAATTAGCAAAACACAGCCGCTTTGGGGAGTGGGTGGAATCGAATAGGGGCGGTGCGGCAATCTGTCTAAAACTTAAAAAATTGGCAAGTGACACGACCCTTTCTTCCGATTGTAGTTTCTCGGTAATAATTGAATACCATGTCAGTGCTTTAGGAAGGATAAAAATACTAACCGAGTCGCGATTCCCCTGAAACGGGTTTAAAGCTAGGGTTAGATCTTCGGCGTCATCGAGCGACGCAATCTAGAGAATTTCGGTGTTTCGAAGCCTTACGTTCGGTATCCGCAAATTCCGCAAATTCTTCCCCAATTGTCATAACCCGTAAAAAGTAAAGAAATTGGCTTCAAATAAACAAAAAACGAATATAAAGACAAACAACAACAACGAAATCAAGTGGCAATATAATTAAAGTTCTTTGTAGTTAACAATCGACACCTGTCAAACTCAGGGGGGGAAAATACACCACTAGAAAGAATTAGTGAAGATTTAATTTTTGAATTAAATCAAGTACTGTTGGCAATTTTGTACTCTGAAATACTTACTAGTCGTCAACATTGTAATTATCAAGGTTACCGGCGGTAGTAATTCCACAAATAATGAGTGGTATACCTAGCAAAATTAAAAAAAAACAAAAACAAAACAAAAAAACATAGAGAGGGATGAATGACCAGAATATAACAAAAAATCTTATCGATGTTCTATGAAAGGGGGGCTTTATACGGGTAAAGATTCATAATTTCTAGGGGACGTTTCCAAAATTTCCTTGGCCTGTTTTCTTTGATTGCAGTGTCTTCGTTTGAAAAAAAGAACGTGAGTGACCACAGCACTCGTAAAACAAGGTTTCAATGACTCATTTTGTGCGATAACCTAAACACTCCATCAAAATTCCAGGAAGAATATTGCTACAGCATTGACAACAAACAACGAACTAAGAGGAAAACCACGATGAGAAAATCTCCAAGCAAAAGATATCTTCATGAAAGCTGTCTATACTTTTGATTCCAAAGAATTGAATTGGTTCACCGCTAAACGTCCTTTACCCTATCACTGCCAAGATCTCATCAGTGATTCTCCTTACTGTCAACCATACGATTTTAATGACGTAGGTTCGGGAAATTTGGTATTGTATCAACTAACAGTCCCCTTGTTGATATTTCCCATAACTTATGTACGTGATATTGTATTGATATTGTATTGATCTTGTAAGGAGAAATTCTGTCTTGGTCAGTCATGGGAGTTAAAGGGTTAATACACTAAAAGCAGTAAAAGCGACCATACCCCAGCTTATCATATAATATCTCAGTACAGGGTTGTATTCCTCAGGCTCAATAGCAGTTCTTATCAGTCTGTGAAGACACACTCCACTACAGCCGATCCACAGTAATGAGCTGAGCAGGAAATAATGCAACACAATCCCAACAGAGCGGCACACCAGTACATTGGTCACGTGATTGATTCCCGTGACAAACACTACGATAGAGACAATGAGAGCGAGGCACTGATTCATTAACATGGCCGCATCATCTCTGTCGTAACGCAAATCGCTGAGGAAAAAATAAAGAAGAGGGTTTTAAACACTGAGTTAGCAGCTCATCGCTTAAGAAACAGAAAACCGTACAGTGCACACAAAATCACCACCCAGGCAGGCTATTCAGTAACTCTAAAAAACATTAGAGAACTTAAGCAGTGTAGTTTTTGAAACGCAGACTACAACCGGAGGTAGAATAGAACTAATTATGACGGACTTTTACGCTAATATATAGGACCGTATGGTCGTCGTTAAACCCAAATTGTGCTGACCAAAAAGGCGTATTAAAAACTAGGAAAGGGAACTTTCAACCTCCGGCTGCTACGTCTAAAAAACGATGTGCTTAAGCTCCCTAAATAATTCGCTACGTCCTCGTTATTAGATTCTCAAACAATTCCTTCCGAAGATGTAGAGGGTTAAGTCAGAATTTGAAATACAACTCTTTAACACTAAAAATTACAACTTTTAAGAAGATTAATTTTAAATACCAGAAGAAATTTTATTACTGAAAAATTTGCGGTAAAAGCGGTGTTATTTAACCTAAGTGATCACAAACAGCCGATCAGATTAAATGAAAATATCCCAAAGACCCAATCAGGACAAATGAAAATATCCCAAAGAGCCAATTAGGTCGTTTGACACTCATTTGAACATCGCTTTGCATGCTGTTAGATTTAAACCTCTGCAGGAAAATAGCATTGCTAAGAACGCCGGTAATTTTCAAGATTACGAACATACCGAAAAATACGCCGCAGCACCCTGCCATCCGATAACCTTTATTTCATATGGCGGGAAATTGCCGCTTTGAGCCGGTTGGGACTACATATGCCCCATGTGACCAGCACAGAGTGGATGCTCTTACCGTATCAGTGCATACACTATCAGCGTAGCAAGGAGGAGAAGCACAGAGATTCCAGCACCTACGAACACAACGATCTCTATGGAAAATGGCACCACAGTCCATTCGTCATCAGTGATTGCACTGACCGCTGGTGTCTTCATAGTCTACAAAGAGAGTATTAAAACATTTGGTGAACAAACTATTTCAGCATGCTGAAAAATATAAGGAAAAACAAAGACGGTCAAATTACCATCATGACAGCAAAGTAGTCCTTGCTAGAAAGCTGAGAGCACTCTGTGATCGTATAGTTGCCTTGAGATGAAACCATGTTGCAGTCAGAATTCTCTTTCCAACTTCCAGGTCCATCTACAAACAATCAAATCACATCAGTTGCCACACATGAAATTCACAAACACAGTTCCACGGCTAGATAACAAAACTTACCATTGCCACCATGATCCCAATAAACTGGCGTAGGTTCGTCACCACTCTGTGAATATAACGGAAAGTTCGAGAGTCAGCTCTAAGAGGACTCTTTCGGAACAAGTTTCTTTCGTGTATCCATGGTAATCCAGGACTGCCCTTGTTTACTTCTCTAAGCTCCGTGGTTGTCTGGGAAGTCTTCTATCCCCTCAACCGAAGGTTCAATTGGTTACTGGCGTTTTCTCAATTTACAATGCAGGTGTCCCCATTTTGTGATTTAACATCTGAGGATATTTTTCTTTGTTACGATTGGCTGTTGTGATCACTTTGATTTTGGTTTTATCGAAACTCAACTGAGAAGTACTCTTATTGTCATTCCATTCATTTTAGACAAGAAAACCCTGAGGACAACACTTAATTTTGTATGGTGTGGAATATTTAAGGCTCACCTCGAATTAAGTAATCACATCAATAGTAACAAATCATTGAAGCACAAACCTGATGATTTTTGAATTCCATGATAATAGGGTGAGAAAAATTCGTCAATTGAATCCCCTCTGGAGCAAAAGTTATACACAACATGAAAAGTCAGTTTTAAACACATAACACAACTGGAAACAAATAACATGAACTGCGAAGCCTTGTACAAGTATCTTGTAGGTAACTATCTTTGTGATGGAGATTTGGAAAATCGCATTACCGCAGATAAAAAGAAAATCAATAAAATAACTACGAAGCATAAACTTCTGGTTCAATGATGCCATTTTTTTCAAGACATCTTGACATGCAAGCCTTCAAAAGTTCAAATGAATAAACGGTTCCTTTTAGCAAGAATTGTATTAGTGATTAAGACCATAAGGAACTCTTCTTGAGTCTTCTTCTTCTAAACGACCAACTCTACTCACCAAACTGTGTTGACATCACACTACTAGACACCTCTCTCCTGGTATGAACACCACTTGAATTGGAAAGTTCTGGGAAAAGTTTACTATTGGCATAGATTATAAACTGAAATTTTACACCAGCTCGGATTTGCAGAAAGAGCGATGGAGGAAGGTATATGGAGGTGTCTGTCATCTGCAGTAAAAGTAAAAGCGTTCAAAAGCTTAAATAAAAAGAGAACAAGCATTTTATCATATGACCACTGAGTGGTGAAAATTTCGAAAATTTTGTTTTACTCCGCACATGTATTAGCATACAAAAATAGGGCTCGACCTAGACAACTACAAAAAAGATACGACAGTTAAAACCTTCCTCTTTTTCTTCAAGTCAAAACAAGCGCGACCCGTTTTCTCATTTGTTTTATTGCAAGTCGAAGTCCACAATTTCAATGAACGTTCTCGAAAAATGCAATGGAGCCGTGTGAGTGCAAAGCCGGACGGTTTTTTTCACGTCAACCCATCCAGCTCTGCACGTCAGCTTTCACTATGGTTTGGGATTGCGCGGGGAGGAGGGGGGTGATTGCGCGGGGAGGGAAGGGGTGATTGCGCGGGGAGAGAGGGGGTGATTGCGCGGGGAGGGAGGGGGTGATTGCGCGGGGAAGGAGGGGGGGGGGGAAAGGAGCTACTATAATATGAAGATAATTATAGAATATGTGATGATACATTACTGCACATACCGGTTTCTTAGTACATGACTTATTGTATTCACATGAGATACAATTTACACGCAGCAATCTGGAGTTCTTGTCTGTCGTCACAAAACACATTTTGCCTAAAACATCGAGGGGTGAGGTTTGCACAACATGTACTGCTAAGTTGTTTGCCAAGAAGGACACGTCAAATTGTGATAAAACGTCCAAAGGAAATCTTGTCGCCAGTAAGCCCACACGAAGCACCATGCTGTAGGTAAACATCATAGTAGGTTTTAAGTACTCTAAATTAAGTTGATAGATTTCTAACCTGAAAAAGGGAATGTTCTGATTATTGATTCACAAATAATTTATGCTTGCAAGGTGCAAACCTTTTTTTTCTGACCATGTCATACAGTAGTGTATTTTCAACAGAAAGCCTTGAAGGTGGGAAGGTAAAGTGGTTTTAGGCACTAGATTTGACATTGTGAACTTATCCAGTGCAAATCTTCCACCACACCCCTCAATGAGTAAATCAACTCATCTGTGACATGTACCAATGGGTCTATTTCATGGAAAATTTGCCTCTCTAGTGAAATGAGGTATTCCAAGTCAATTCTGTATTTTTATCATTATCCTCATTACTTTCATTGCTTTTGTTATCATAATCATTATCATGATCACTATCCTTAGCATCATTATTACTTTTATTATTATTATCATTATTATAATTATTGGTATTATCAAAGCTCAAACATCTTGAATACCCAGCATATTTCTTAGAAAAGGAACATTGTTTGATAGTAAACTTTGTATTATTTGGTCTAGCTTAGTCTAGCTATCTGAACGGTTTAAAGCTATTTAAGAATACAAACCTTGAACAAGACTTTGACCTCCTCTGAGCTTCTTGTAACAATGACGTATCAGCGTCCATCATGTTACTGATGGTTCCAACTAAATTTTCACCAAGCTGTAACACGAGAAAAAGAAAAAAATCATCCTTAAAATTGATAAAATGCATGGTCAGGAGTATATTTTGGCACCATGGCAAGAGCATATATGTGTACAACATGTGCAGTGTATGTGAAGGCCTAAAGAAACAAGAATCAATTTAATGAGGTGATTTGTCCTGTGGTAGATAACAAAGTAATTTACATTTGAAAAGCAGCAAGGTTTGTATCATAACAAGGTCACCCTTAACCTCATTCCTGTTCAAAGGCTTGGCAACTAAGCACACAACTGTAAAATGGACTATTGATAATACTCCCAAAGAAACACTATGTGAACAGTGAAAACAATAGTGCAGAATGCATCAGAAGGGTGACCTTGGAAAGTTGATAAAAAAACCCACAAGCTCCTTACTTTTTTATCTCCTCCAATGACTTGTGCCAAATTCTTCACAATGTCAGCAGTATATACAACATCCAGTGGATCTGTATATTCCTTAGCTCGTCTTGATATGTTCAGTAAATTCCCGCTGACAGATTCAACTGTTGTCTCGTTAACTGTTTTCTGGTCAAAATGGAAATAAAAATAATACATGTAAACACATTTCTTACCCATACTAGAAAAAGTATAAATTTCACAAAGTTCTGAGAAAAGAGACAGTTTCCTTGCCCTGTTTGAGTCTATTTCAAAAAATGTTTCTTTGCTAACTTTATAATGCCAACAGCCACATGCAGACTCCAAGCTGTTACTTTCTTTCATAATAAAGGAAGTGAAATGAAATATCTAGCAAAATTTTTGCTTCACACTGACAGGAAATAATGGAGATACATAAAGAGTTGTCACAGGAAAATGGGCCATAAACTAGCTGCATACTCTCTAATTTATCTTGGAGATAAAAGAATAAGGTCCTACCACCGGAAAAGCAACCAGCTCTCAAGCCTGAAGTGTGTTCACCCATAAAGATTAAAAATTTGTCAAATTAAATTTAGAAAATACAGGCAGTATTTCTGGTAGTAATACTACAACTCCAGGTACTCCACAATGCATGGTTGCCACAAATAACAATTGGACCCTGTAAACATAACTTTAGTTTCCTGTTTGCCTAAAATTTCCCCCAAAAATATATTAATAACTAACAAAGTGTCTTGGCTTTGCTTAGCCCTTACACTCTTATGAGTGTCCAAGACGAACAATAACAAACAGACAAGCCATGAGAATAAAAGAAAAATATCAATTAGGGGATTATTAGTTTATTCAGTACCACATTCACTGATCTAAAATCATAAGAATTTTATGGCAGATGGTAAAGAGAATTTCTTATAAGATCTAGGAGTGGGTTAATACAGTCTGACAAGCCACTGGAGGTGGCAAAAAACACTTCTTACTCCTTAACCAAACCTATTCATGCACTTGACATAACACCATTCTCTAACAACTAGTTTTACCTGTTTTAAATCATACAAAGCACGAGTTATTTCACTGGCATGAGCACATGACTGTGCCTCTACAGGCATCCAGACACCTTCTCTTGAGCAATTTCTTCTGGCCATGATTTTATCTCCCATACCATCTATCAGGCTGCTCCTTACACCAACAGGGCAGGGCAAGAAGGCAATACCCCCAGCAGCTGTATGATGCCAGTGAAATGTTCCCCGTTCATTCTTTGTGGTAACTGCTCTGCAGAATTTACCATTAGATGGAATTATCGAGAGACGTGATGTCCAAATATGCAGATAGCCTCCTTTGTTTGTAACATTACAGCTGTAATGGCCCCCATCTTCCACAGTAAGTTGTTTTATGTGCAAAACAGATGAAAGTAAAAGTTTGTCATGGTCACGCTTCAAATCAATGCCTATCCGTTTGTCTTTAGTGACTGGTTTATTGTTCTTGTACCAACTTAACTGTGTGCCAGGAATCCAAGATGAGTTACATTCAAAGGAATAACTGTCACCATTGAAAGCAATTTGATCTCCTTGCGGACCAAATGACATGGTTTTTAATGCATGTTTATCTATAAAGAAAAATTAACAGTTAACAAGTGCTGTCAGCAGTATTTTAATATTCTTGTTTCTGAGTTATGGGCTCAAGCTTTGTGTGAAAAAAACAAATCTGTTTTGGCAAAATAAAATACTCAAAGGCACAATATGCCTTCAAGGTTCATTTTTCAGCAAAATCTTTAAAAAATGTCTCCTTGTTTCACATTTAGCTTCCTTGGAGCATATATTCTAAGGACTGCCCCCCCAAACCAAGCGTCTGAGAGACTCAAAATTATATAAACACCTTACCACATATCATCTCCTTCTTGTTAACACTTGCAATTGTTTTGTCCCTCAGCTTAACAGGGTCCTCACAAGTGCCTTTAATAGATGATCGTCTGTCTGGCCTACTTTTTGCAATCCATTTCACCATCCATTTCAGGTTACAGTCACAGATCAAAGGATTAAGTTCAAGGTCACTTCAGAAGAGATAAAACAGATAATTAGCCTGTAAGGTCAGTACACGGATCAAATAAAACCTATTTGTTTCTTTGTCATTTGGTTTTCCCACTTTACTTGATAATGTGAATTGGTCACCACAAGGAGATTTTCAAGCTGACATTCCAAGCATTAGCCCTTCATTGGAGGGAATAGACTTGCTCAAATGAAGGGTCCATAATTTCAATGTCAGCCTTGTAAACTTTTTATGGTAGCCAATTTATATCAACAACTCAGTTGATTAAACCAAGTTATATTGTAATCTTGTAAGACCCCTCTCCTCTCCCACTGATGTAGCACCACAGTTTCTTTAGAGACTTTCCCATCTATGGCTTCTTTCTTTTTTGGCAACAAGACTTTGGTCTCATATCCAAACACAAATCTTAGGAGAATCTTTTTTTTTATTCTCAATCACAGTGTGTTTCATGGGAAAGATCACTGATCACTACTGGATGTCATGATGATTATATTTTGCTCTAAAAACTGTGATTTTACAATTTTCCTTCAAGCAGCAGATTTAAACAAGGAAGGGATAACAATATCTGAGTAACAGTCAGTGACACTAATACCCTTTTAATTAATACCTTCTGTAGAACTAGAACTGAAAATAAGACACTGGTAAAATCAATTGAAGTAACTAATTAAAAGTGTTTACAAAACATTCGATGTATGCAGGCAGTTTGTAATTTTCAATGAAATTTTTTCATTTATCCCTGGCAGTTAAAACTGACAAGGGTACAAAACTAGTTCAATTATGGACCTTAACTTAGGTTTATATTAAGGAGAAAATTGATAGTAATAAGATACAATGTACTTTAAAATGATACAAAAGCACATTTCTGAGGAACTATTTATTACTTGTAACTTCTCAGTGACAGCTCTATCATTGACTCACAAATTCAATAAAATCAATTGTAACTGTAACTGTTTCTGAGCATCAGGCTCAAAAATATTCGGCAAAGTTTCAAATTAGATTAAGTTCAAAATTTACTTGAATCACATTCTTATGCTTGAGTTATCATTGTTGTGACTTGGTTTTTTTCTTCTTGACCAGATGTTTGGTGCTGTCACTCAGTTGATGGTTGTATGGCTGTACAACTTTATTCAGCATATCTTTAACAGCTTCGTGTTCAGCTTTTAGGTTGTTATGCATCAGGAGAATGACTTTGTCAAATGTTAGAATCAACTGCCTCATAAACTGTACAAGTTTGTTGACATTATCCTCGATGCGCGTCATTGTATAAGTCAAAGTAATAACCATCTTTGCGAGACCCTCATTTGACATATTTCCCTCTTCTGCTTGGACAGTAATAAATTTAACAGCTTTTTTCATGACATTGAGAATTTTGACCAGTTCCTCAAGAGCTTTGTTCAAATCACACACCACATACCACTGCCCATTATAAATCCCCTCAATTTTTTCCATAGCTTGTTATACTGAGAAGTTTCACAGAATACCTGTTTTACTGAGTTTTTTTTTAAATTTAATTCCTAAAGAGCAAACAGATGAATTGATTTTTTTTATTTTATTAATGAGTAAAAACCACATTTCCTTTTTACTTTGCATTAAAAATTAAGCATCTAGCCAGATTACCAGGAGAAAAAGTTGATAAAATCAAACACAAATTTCATTTCTAGTCTCAAAATATACTGTGTAAATGATAGCACCGGTTTGCTGCGGCAAAAGTGTTTTAAAATTTCTAGAATTCTTCTACAATAGTAATCTGATGAACCTCTGAAGACCAATTTCTTCATAAATCAACTTTTTTTTAACTTATCATTTTTGTACATAACATATTTCTTAATATATACATCTGGACTTGTGTTCACCCCAGAAAAGCACCTCAGATAAAATAACCTTAACTATCAAGCAGCAATATCACCATAAATTATTAAACAAAATCAGAATATTAATGAAGTGTGAGTTTGTGTGTTCAGTATGTCATTTTTGGAGAGATCTAAATGCAATTTGTACTCACATTTTTTGTAAGTTACCAAGTGAGTTAAATAATCCTTCAGGAAGGAGAGTCAGCCTGTTGGAAGATAAATTTCTGAAGGAAAAAAAGGAAAAGGAAATGAAAAGTCATCCCACAAATCAAACAATGAATATAGTAAATTATTGATGACAAATTGACTGCAATCATCTTTTGGCCATAAAGAGAGCAGGGACTTGAGGTCAGGAGTCTTGATGCCTGACTAGGAGAGAACTCGAGCTCAAAATTTATAAACCAATCCAACAGCTGACTGTGAGTTACTGTTGCATGTACATGTACACTATAACCAGTAATTGACTCAACATTTTACCTCTAACAAACTTACATTATCCTAAGATTCTTGCAACCAGAAAATTGAGTCTTATTTAGCTTGAACATGTGATTGTTTGAAACATCACTGAAAAAAAAATGGACAACAACAACGTGTTATAGCTGAAGTTTATGGCTTTTTTTTAATTAGAGTCCAACAGCTTCTAAAAGCTAAAAGTTAGACGATCTCAGCTTATAGGCAAATAAATATGATATATTTGACTTGCTGATGCAAGAGAGTTAAATTGGACTGACAGAAGTGTCTCTCTATTTCCTTTGATTTGGTTTAAAGTAAATTATATCACTTTGAAAGTATTAACTTACTTATTCACTAAAAGATTCCTCATGAAAATAAACAATGACATGTAGCACAAGCTTTACACTGGAAACCTTGAAAAATATTGTTTATTCTTACAATCTTGGTTACAAGAGGAAAGAGTGATATTCCCTGTAATCAAATGTACATGTACTGGTGCATGGTAAAGGTATTAAAATGGTGCGTACAACTTGTAAACAAAACATAAAATACTTTGTGAATGTAAAGTATGAGAGTTTATCTATATTCATAAGTAAGTTTTGACAGTTACAGAATAAACATTGTAAGTGACTTAATGAGAAAAAATATCTCTACTAACCAGGTGGGCCATAAATCTGAGCAGAAAAAACTTTGCATAATAAAATGAGGTGGTTAAGATAATTATTTCATATATTTGGGTTCAAGTAGAGGGGGAGATTTCAATTCAAACAAACTTTTGAATTTTGAAGGCCAAACAGTTAAATACAGCTTACTAAATTGAACAATCATGGTGCACATATTAACTGGTAGGTGTCATAACTCACATTATTCTAATATTCCTCAGTTTCCTAAAGACAGCTTCATCCAGGAGGAATAATTTGTTGTGACTAAGATCACTGAGGAAGAAAAATTACAAATTATAAACTAAAATAAATAAAAAATAAATGTCAGTGAGTAATAAAGTAAATTACAGGTGTTATAAAATATACAGACCAAAATAAAAACGCCTCAATGAAATATTTCGTAATAAGAGTAATTATTCTATACAAGATACATGTATAAATGCAAAAGAGAACTGGTAAAAATCAAAATACAAATCTTATAGAGGGATAAACAGATCTTGTAAACAGAGGCCCAGTATATTGAATTAATAAACTGGCAAAGATTAACTGATAAGTTAGTTTAGTTGCAAATAAAGAAACCTCTCCTTTTCATAGCTTTTTACAGCATACACCGCATATCTATTGGAAATAAACACTGTAACTTTCCATACTGTATCAGTTTTTGTTGATAATTGTTCCTAATCAATAATCAATTTACGCAGGATTTTTATAAAAACAACTGAATTAATTCCCATTTTAATCAATTTTAATTCAATCCTCCTATTCAGAAAAAGAGAAAAATGCTCACATTTACTGTGTGGAAAGGATATCAATTTATTTTCACATGAAGTATTTGTTTGGTAAGCTTCGTGCCTCAATAAACCCTTTTACTTCCACAAATATGAAATTACCGTACCCCTTCTGATATCAAAGTCGAAAAAATTATCAGCCGGGGCATGGTAGGTTAATCAGTCTTAGACCAAATTCTTTGCACTGACAGGTAACAAAAGCTCTTACACTAATTAATAATGAGAATTACAACTCCACTCTTGGGACTAAAGAGGTTAAACTTTCTCAAATGTGAAGAGAGAGCTTAACCTACTGGAATGTACCATGATAAGCTTAACTAAATTCTGCTGTTAAGAGGAATCTAGAATTAAATTCCTAATTTTTACAATCTGAGAGGTGGAATTAAAACAAAAACAAAAAAACAAAAAACATGGACTGGGGAAGGGAATTGGTATGACCCACCCTTCTTTCTTTCTATCTTATCAGCACCCTCACTTGTTAAAGAAAGGGAGCAGTTGCAAGATAACTTGACCAGCCTTTAACATTTTGTCATCTTATCTCACAAGACATCTGAGAAAACCCAAATAATATGGGTCTCATATTTTCTTACTTTCCTACAAGAAATTGTGTACATCATATTTGGTTGAGCAGCAAGCTAAACCATGCATGATACTCAACAGGAAATCAAGAATTTTACACTATGTTAAAAAAAAAAAAACTGAAAACCATTAAATACCAAATCTACGATGTACGCACATCCAATTCGTGTACATGCGAAGTCTTAACCCGCACTGCTGTTTTCTCAGTTTATGTGAGGATAGTATAGCACATTTAAACATACTACTCACAGCTTTGTTAATCTGTTCAACCCTGAGAACGCATCTGGTTCGATCTTTTCTAGTTCATTGCCAGACAAAAGTCTGAAAAAAAAAACACACACACACAACATCAATTAATACTGACGAGGATTTTCGAGTCCGAGGCTAAGTTGTCTTCTAATTACCATCGGAAGTGCCATAAAATTTTGTAAATTATCGTGAGCCTAACTGAGGGGAAGTGAGCACTACATCATCGTGTACTATCTGCGTAGCAGGAAGCCACTTCGATTGATTCCCATTGACTCTTTCAATTATTGCAACAACCGGGCACGCAAAAATTCGAGCGACATAAAAAGCCAGAAAGATAAACACAATAAGTTTATTTTGAAAATAAGTACACACTTATACGCACAAAGAAACATTGTGGACAGCGTAGAGAAACGGGGATGGAGATTGGAAGTAAATAGCAAATTCCTTCCATATTAAATCAAGCAATCAATATTCAGAAACTTTCTCACAAGTATTTGTATGTTCTTTGGGGTTATTGATATTGGTCACTATAAACTTTGCAAATAATGCAACCATAGGATGTATAACAAATTGAACAATAGAAACTTTGCGGAAAATAATAGAAAATTCAATTAATGTGCATGCATGTTAATATCATTTGTAGCTACCCGGTTCATTAATCAAATGAACTTTAACTTTCCATGAAATAAAAAAAAGAAAACATAAAGATTCCACTTACAATCGCTTTATTTTTGTGAGATTTTTCCTTTTGAAGGCATTGTTTTTGATCGTCTGTATCGCATTATCTGACAGATCGCTGCAATGGAGGCAAAAAGGCAAAGGCTTCAAAATTCCTACTATGCTCAAAAACCATGACTAACTTGGCTTTTCATAAAGTCAGTTAGGATATTAACTGCGGCTTTACAATTGGAGAAGAGTTCTATGTCGAGAAAAAATTACACAGAAAACACAGTAAAGACAAGAATATAAACATCAGCGTAATCCTAAAACGACAAAGCCCATAACATACGATCGGTCTTACTCACAGTTCGAATGTGTCGTCCGGCAGATCATTAGGGTTTATTGGCGTTTTCAATCCTTGGTTCGCACAGTTTACTGAATAACCATTCGCTTTTTGTTCACATCCACATTTCGGTGGGCAGTTAAATGATGGCATCACTCCATAACCAAACAGCATCAGCAACGCAAAGATGAGATTTGTAAAAGCTGTTTTCATTTGCATCATGGCACGGCGTAAAGGAACTTCGCTCGAATACTTTTAGGTGACTGATGAACGGATAATGGCCGGCCTTTCTACCGACATACAGAAGGCAGTTTACTTCAGTCCTGCTAAAATCTTCCGAACATGATATCACAGGATTTCGGACCCAAAAACCGCCTTTAATGAATTGCCCCCGTTTTGAAGTGAGATCAAGCAAGCAACGTTCTAATTTGCATTTTCTTTTGATGCCGACGACAAATACCTCCCTGGGGACTCCCACGGGGATAGCATGCTGTACAAGTATCTTGTTTGTTTGTTTGTTTCTCCTTCTCTCTCTTTTTCGTCCATATAATTTACCAATCGTTTCAAAAACTATTATAAAAAATTATTGATTATGGAAAGGCAGAGTTAACGGGTTACAAAAATATAAATGAAAACATTGGATATTTATTTTTCGGGGAGCTTGTTCTCCCCATCCCGATGGGTATGACTTTGTGACTCGGGCAAGTAACTACTCTGCGAGTGGTCGGTAAGGAAGATTTTGTAACCCTCCTACTTGCCGCACGTGGGAAGGTTCCAATATGGCAGTAGCAAGGGTTTTGGTTTATGGCGGGAAAGGAGCCCTTGGAGCTACCTGTGTGACTTATTTCAAATCCAAAGATTGGGTAAGAAAAAACAACATTCTTAGCCTAGCAATATTTACGGGTGGAAAGTAGTTTTGTGCCTGGAACTTTTGACGATCGCTTTCTATTTTATGGTGATAATCAGCTGTAATCAGGCCCTGCTGTAATAATCCGTACTTTTCTAGGTCTGTACATCATCAGTAAAAAAACATGCTTTTAGATAAGTATCGTCTGATCCACATTTCTGAAGCGGCGGCTGGAATTCCAGAATTCGTCGGAATTCTTAAATTTGAGTTGGTTTTGTTTTCAGTTAACATTTGTGGCACGAATTATGTCAAAAATTTCCAATAAAGCCGTCGCGTAATTAAGCTAAAGGGCTTATCGTTAAATCTGTGAGCGGAGAAATCACATTTTAGTCTTCGCATTCAATAACTTTACACCTCGATATGAGTAGATACTTGCTAATAACATTATCGTATGTGGAAGAAAACGTGCATTGTGCGTCGAGGAGAAATTAAAAGAGAAGCACTGTGGGTAATATCTAATAATCTTTGGAGGCCAATGTTATTTAAACAGGGAGAAATCCCTGTTTGGCAGAAGGAGCTGTTTCCCCTTTGTAGATTTATTAAGGCAGCAAATAGTTTTGTGCTGTCAGTTAACACAGTTTCAGAGGGTCTGTAGAAGCCGTGGTTTAGAGGAAGCAGATTTAAGGTCCAAACCCAGTGAAACAAGTAGAGTGATTCATTCTGATAGACGTGGTTTAAGGAAGCAGATTTAAGGTCCAAACCCAGTGAAACAAGTAGAGTGATTCATTCTGATAGACAACAACTCCTTACGAGATATTTACCGTGGGATTTTTGCAACCAAGATGTCATCAGAAACATGAACTGTGAAAAGGTTTACTGGGTGTCTTGTCTTGTTCCCTTTCATTTGGGGGCAATGTCTGATTTAACACCAAATTTCAAGAATATCTTTATAGGAAATTTATGAGAGAAAGTAAGACTTAGTGTATTGATCTTGAGAGTGAAAATGTCAAAGATAACCCTAGTATTCAGTCTCCTATATCATTTTTGGTTAGAGTGGAGTGTATGGGAGTTCTCTGTTTTACACATAGAATACAATGGTATAATTGCTGCGGTGATTCTAGAGATGCTAGATGATTGGTCAAGGATTGCATCATATCTTGCTATAACCACCTTGTACAAAGTGATTATAATAGGAGCAATCAATTTCAAAATGGCTGCCTTAGTCTGCGTGACGGAGGAAGTGATGAACATGATAAAGGAAATTCAAATCAGAAGAGTGTAAATGATGCTACTTAATTTGGAGTAACACTTTTCAAAAGAAAGATATCAAGTTTTTGCTGATTGAATTATATTAAGTTATCAAATTCTAGAGGAAAGTGGCTCTTTACTTCAGTAAAAGAAATAAAAGCAATTGATACTGAATGGTTTTTACATCAAAACAAAAATTTACAACAGAATTTGAAAGCAACTGAGCAATTATACTTAAAAAAATTATTTGCCTCAGAGTCGGTGATTACTGTTGAATAATCCCCTTGACCTTGTCTCAGGGATCATTTGACAAAATTCACTTTGCCTTCTGCGAACAATTGTTAAACAGTGAGACAGTGGTCTCCTGTTGGTTGCATCTTATCTTCAAGCAGTTCTGCTCTTCTTTTTTTTTTTTTTTTTACAGTGGGTGGCTTCTGTTGACTTGTTTCCTAATGAAGAAGCACATGCAAATGTGGTTGTTACCAAGACAGACTCATGGACTGAGCAAAATGAAGAGGTGTGTAATATTTGTGTTTAAAAAAATTTTTGTAAAAATATGGCTACTGCATGGGATGGGATGATATTTGAAAGATTAATGGATTTTTAATAAACACAGTATATCACTGATTGTTTTGTACTTTGCAACTTTTAATTAGTTTTCATCTTAACGGTTGAGCATATTAAGATGGTAATGGAATGTGACTTGCATATCATTTAATGCATTTGATGCATTTGTATTTGTTTACAATGTGCAACTCTTAGTTCCTACTTTCCCCAGTCTCCTTTCCTGAGAATATGAAAATAGAACATAGTATAAAAACATTCTTCCAAATACCTGTGTGACATTCTCCACCCTTTAGTGGCAATTGGTTTGTCCATGTACAGTACAAACACTAAGGTGCCTTACTCTAAAGATCAAGCAGCTTGTTATTCATCCATCATCGTTTCTTTGACATCAAATACTTGCCTGTGGCTGTTATTTAACTCTGCATCATCAAAATCAAAATCAAAACACTTTTGGAGTCAGCTGTTGCCTTTCGACATATTACTCACAATGTACAGTTACAGATGCTGGTAATTCATGAATGATTAGTAGTTAGCCACTGTTATGTGCTTGTTCTATTTCTTTTGTGTGGCTAAAGATACTAGGTCATCTTCCCAGTGAGCTTCTTAAATCATTTGATGAAATACGAGGTAGTATCTGAAGCTGAATGTCACAATAAATAACCAGCTTTTGCACAGAACAATAAGAGTAAGACATCCATTGTTTTTTTTTTTTATCATTACTGATGAGCAGATTCAGCCCAAGGTTGAGGAGATCCTTGATGGTAACAAGTTTGATGCAATAATCTGTGTTGCAGGAGGCTGGGCTGGTGGCAGTGCCAAAAGCAAAGGTGAAGTAAAATCTACATATGCAGACACATGCCACAAGGGCTTTGCCAGTTCCTGCTGTTTGATGCAATTTGGATCATTGTTTCTCAAGTAGAATGTTATTGATTAGTGGTATATTATCAACTCTGTTATTCCTTTGTAGCAAAACAATGACCATTCTAAGGCTGCCTTCTTTCAAGTATGATTATCCATTAATAACTCTTAAACCTGGTTGAACACAGTTATAGGTAGAACATTTGTGCTGAAAAAAAATCATTCACCAAATTGTATTGTCCAGTTTGTTTGCTGTAATTATCCTTAACTGTTTGTGGCTTTTCATGTATCAGCTGTTGTCAAGAATGCAGACTTAATGTTCAAGCAGAGTGTTTGGACCTCTCTTATTTCTGCCAGTATCGCTTCTAAGCATTTGAAAGAGTAGGTATCAGACTGTATGTGAACGTTCTGCAAAATGGCAAATGCTATACTTTTTACATAATTATTTCTCCTGTCGCTCTGTTTGTTTTTTGGTTTTTTTGTTTTTTCTGGCACTAAGTCTTAATTTTATAACAGTTGACTAGCTCCTCTTACCAAATTTATGTAGTTCTTCTTTGTATCAGATGGAATAAGTAAGAAAAAAATTATTTATTTACTGTGTTAAACTCTAAATGAACACTAGTAGCAAGGTGCATGTCTCCACATTTTTGTGATTAATTTTGACTGACACCACTCTCTTCATTTAAGTTGGGAAAAGGGGATAATCATCAATAAGAGGGAGATATTTGATAATAAACAGATAGTCTCTGATCAACCAGTGGTTATCAAAACTAAAATATAGAATCACAAATTGAATTTATTCAATAATTTGAGGCAAGTAGATCTAAAGATTATGGTCACTGTACTGATGAAAACTTACAAATCAATTGAAAAGTAGTTAACAAGACATAAAAAGTGGTGGTCGGTAGTTTTGCATTTCAACCATTTAATTTATTTTTTCCCTAATTTCAGAAATGGTATGTTGACGTTGACTGGAGCTCAGCCTTCTCTGGGGGCTACACCAGGTAAAACTGCTTCTTTTTGATAATCTTGTATTAATTGGAACTTTTTGAAACAGATACTTTTAGGAAACTTTGCTGTTACAGATGGCATTGCACTAAATTAGTGCTACCCATCCCTCCCCCCACTCCCCTCCCAGCCACCTGCTGGACTCAAGGAGGGAGCCACTCATGGATTCCTGAATTCATTGTAGTGTATCTTTAACAGCAGTATGTCATTCTTTTTTTTTTGTGCAAAATCAGCTAACAGGATTAAATTTAAAGTCTACACCTCAATAATGTATTATAAATTAACAGGAATGTTGGGTTATGGTATGGCCAAGGCTGCTGTGCATCAACTTGTCAAAGGACTTGCTGATGAGAAAGGAGGTCTGCCAAGCAATGCTTCTGTTCTGGCTATCTTGCCGTAAGTGTGGATGTGTTAGTTTTTGAAGATTACCCTCATTCCTGGGCTGGTGGGAGACTTCATGTCTTTTCTAGTTGTTAGCACCATGAACTCTGCCATATCGCTCAAGGTATTGAACCTAGTTGGCTCATTGTGATTTATTTTCACAGCACCTCTCTCTGCCTAGGGCTGTTACAACATACTGTCAAGTAAACCTGACAATATGTTGGCAGGATTGTCTGCAATAGACAACCATCCCATCAAGGAGGAGTGGATGTACTTGTTGTCACTCTCTGGCCTGAGCAGTAGAGGGCTCTTAAAGCCCACTTGGCCTCAGGACCTAAATGTCTAGTAGTTCCTGGACCTAAACATTTCTTACCCAACTACAAGGGAATATGTTCAATGTGCTCATAACAGAACACATGTGTCAGATATTGGAGGGAGTGTTGTTTGCTTGCTCCTTGACTTTTTGTGAAATTTGTTAGAAGGCAGGACTGCAATACCTTTATTATTCTTAGCTTGTGAATGTTTTCCTTGTTACACCAGACTCTATTAGTCAAACCCTAGTTCCAACAAAAGCCAGAACATGACACTAGTTCAGATAGAACTCTTTCTTATATCTTCCACATTGGAAATCCCTAAAACTCATCACAATTTATTATGTAGCGTTCAGTATTAAGCATTGACCAGTTTACATTGGACTTACAGAAGCAACCTGACTTACTCTTCTCTTAACAACAGCATGACATTAGACACACCTGGTAACAGGAAGGGAATGCCTAATGCTGACTTCAATCAATGGACACCCCTTGAATATGTTGCAAAGTAAGTCTATTATTTGATTTTGTTATTAGAGTTTTTTTAAAATACACAATTTTCGCGTCAATCTTTTGATAAAACGCGTTAGATCAGGACAGACAAGAACATAGCTTCTGTAAATCTGCAAAATGTTACTTTTTCTGTTTCGATAACCGAATTGAATTTATTTGTGATAAAAGTGGTACCACGACGAAGAATAATTTTTTCTACTTCTAAATCTTTAGAATTTATCACTACTTGGCGAATAACTTGTGTCAGGCTATTGTTACTAGTTATTAAAGGGGTAAGTTTCTAAAGAAACTGTGGTGTTGCGTCGGTGGGAGATTACAACAAGGTGATTTAGTATTATCAATTGAGTTGATAACGTAAATTGGTCACCGTAAAGGGTTTCAAAGCTGACGTTTCAAGCGTTAGCCCTTTGTCAGAGCGTATGACGAAGGGCTAACGCTCGAAACGTCGGCTATGAAACTCTTTGCCGTGGCTAATTCAGTTGATAATACCAAATTACCGTATTGTTGTCGGTAAACACCGTGCGTTCTCTCTGAGCGCCTTTGTAAGCTAATGTATGTCGTCTTTGTATTCTTGGCAGCTTGTTATTTGAATGGACTCAAAGTAGTGATGTTCCACCGAGGGGAAGTTTGGTCAAACTAAAAACCCAAGATGGAATCTCTTCTTATGAAATTCACACCGGCGGACTTCTTTGATAGAACTGTGACAGCGCTAACAAAATGATCTTCTTTGATTCCTATGGCAATGAAACAACCGTTTCTACCAAGAGGTACTAAGCAAGGCCGAGCCAGGATAATCATTTAGGGAAATATTTCCAAATTTGTACTGCTATAAGAAAAATTTCACAAGACGGCAGCCTTTCCAGTTTCATAGGAAATTTGTTAGGGTTTACTACTAAGGTGTACATTAAAGTGTGGATCCAGGTTGATCGGTGATTAAAGTAGGGTGAACAGTTCTTACAATTTGTCTTTTCGTAAGCATCAATATTGTGGCCACGAGGGACCGTAAATGGGATCTTACCATTTCATCAGCACTTAAGGTTTCTGTTTTTTCTTAAGATTTATCTGTCAGCCCTTCCTTTGTCAACGTCAAATGCAGTTCAGACGTTCGTTTTTTTTTTTTTAAGAATGAATTTAGACAGCTTTAGTGGCGCAGTTAAATGTGACCATTTTTTTGTTTGTTTGTTTGTTTATTTTTTTTTACTTGAACAAAATCTCCTTCGATCTTTAACTCCCAGAAAAATATCTATACTGTACCTGATTTTCCTCGGAAGGACAAACAAGGCTTTGCTCGTAGGGTAACTAACGCTATGCCTCTGAAGAAATGGTGCTGCTTTTTGTGGGTTCTACAATGAAACCAATCATGCAAGGACACCTCTATAAAGTGTATACGTGCACCTTTATTCTAAGGTTAGAAGCTCTGCTCTCAGCTGAAAGGAAAAAATACTCCTTCGTGCTTTGCATTTGTTATCATCTTTGATGTAACACGTTTACTGTTCCCGAATCCCGAGGCTATACCCTGCGTGTAGTTACGATGTAAATAACGTATCCATTTCACAGAAATGTCTATTCATTGTTGCATTACAATGAAAAGGCTTCATGTATTTACAACTCACTCTACGTGTATTTACAACTGACACTTAGACTGCCTTAAACAGTTGTTATTGTAGAATTAATAAACTTTACAACAATAAACAGCAGATGTTTCAACTGTAAAGTGATACTTAATTGACCATATTACTATTAAGTGATTTCAAAGACAGTCACTCGGTTGTTTATCTCCAACAACAACAACAACAACAGCATTTATTTAAACACGATAAAAAATTCAGCAAAAGCTGATGTGGTCCGGAATAGTTACACCGGAAAGTGAACTTATGCGATGAAGGAAAAAACAGACAAGTGACTGTACCACATAGTTGTGACTCGCCGATTCTAATACTTATATTGCCTATAACTATGGCAAGAAAGCCCGTAATCGAGACTGCCATATCTAACATGTATGCCCAAAAACTACAGTGATGTATCTGAGTTATTAGGTAAACGGTTTGCTCTGTCACAGCCTACGTTACATAGTTTAGTAGTTTATTGAAAAGAAGAAGCGAACCTATCCAAAGAGAGTCATGCGATGATTTCGCTTTGAAACTTTCAACTCGATGCAAGTTTCAGAATATATGTGTTCCTGTTTACTTTGTTTGCTATTAATATCCTTAACTGTTGGTGTCTAACCTTTTCAAACTCCATTAACCCCGTTTGCCCAAATGTGAATTGAACATTGAAATGTCAATCAAATTTCAGGTTTGATAACTTTCTAGAAGTCCTGAAAAGTGCCGTTCTAAGAATCGTAGTTATAAATAGGAGTTATTTGAAAACAATCAAGTTTCGGTTTCAAGCGGGAAAATCCCAGCTTCTACTTGGTCACATGAATTGCTACTGATGCTTATCATTTAGAGATTCCGTTCTGTAGAGTAATTTCCAAAAGTTAAAGAAGGTTACATCGAGGTTTGTGTAATTGTGCAAAGTGTGGTCACTTCATCTCCTGAATGTGACAAGTATTTAGTTATATACAAAACTTGAGTCCGAGATATGAAATATAAACCGTCAGCAATCTTTATCAGTTATTGAATTATATTGTGAGCTAGGCTATTTCAGTCTCGCATTTCATCAAACCACGAGTAGCTTGTGTCCACGCGCGTCATTAATGGCCACAGCAATGCGTGCCTCCTTCGTCACACACATCCCTGATACACACCACATCCCTTTTTCTTCCTTATGTTGGATGTATATGTTGCGTTCGAATGTGCCACCTTTGCTGTGTATGGACACTTGTAGGCAATGTTCCGCGTTTAGTGAGGCGACGAACACATGATCCGTTGGCGGAAAACAGAATAGTGCAGCTCCTCTAGGAGAAGTGTTCCCACTTACACGGAACTGATGATAGTGGCTTCCATCTGCATTAAAAGCGTAAATGCAAGAGTTTCGTTGTAACACCATAAAACCTCCATCACTGGTAGCTGTGATGTCAATTGCGTCTTTTAGTTGCTCTCTTCCAAAGCGGTTACGGAAGTGTCCATCACTGCCATACACTTCTACTTCACATGGAGTAGAATAATCGATGCAGGAACTTGGGGTACAGATCACATCTTCCACAAGCACAGCTAACTGATCAGTCTTGTTGTTCACTGCCACAGAGAGAACTCTGTGCCCTCTCTTTTCAAGAACGATGCTGCTTAACACTCCTTGGATGTTAGAAAGGTACCTTGCGTCAGTTGTGTCCACCAAAAGGGACATTCTGCTTTGTTCCGCAGTCGGTTCCACGCACTGAACTTTCAACGTTGCTTGTTCACTAATTGACACGACGGAAGAGCAAAATTGATCTTCATCACTATCAAACGTTTTTATTTCACCGCTCCGGATGTCTAAAAGAGTAAACTGTCCTGTAGACTTTTCCTTAGTTCTGTATAGAGCAGGTAGTTCGGGGACCTCATTATTCACCTGGAGTTTCTTCAACCTGTTTACAATCCTCGCGTCACGTACAGGGTCAATCTTCTCCTCCTTAATAGTAATGCACGGCCAGTCCAGGAGCGCGGATCTGTGATCACCAACCATATGAGCGATTGCTAACACAGCATGATTAATGCGACGAACACCTGAGATAACTTCGTTACGGTCATTCTTGCTTAGTCGAGACTTGAAGCTCCTCTTGACTCTTTCTTGAAAGGTCTTCTGAACTACCGCCATCGAGTGAAGCTCCTCCAAGTGATATCTACAAAGGGGCAATGCAATGCTTGGGCTGTCTGCATTCTCTAATATTGTAGCCAAAACTAGGTACTCCATGGCCAATATTCGAACAGTCGGACGTAAGGCTTTGTTACTGACGGCCTCGGTTGCTTTCTTGCGAGCATCCTTAAATCTTTTTTTTGCCTCAGACAATGCTTTTTGCGACAATTTGTCAGGATCGGTCAGTTCTGTGCTTTTTATTCCCTCAGGAGACGAAATTGAATTTTGACGCACAGTGGTGAGTACTCCAACGTCATTATTATTCGCCTTTTCCTCAATCTCCATGGCTTCTTCAGTCGTGGATTTTTCCAAAACCACATACATTAGCACGATTCCTTCTTTAAAGAAGTTAATGCTTGCCCCAAGATCCTTCCAAGCTATGGAATCCAACTTTGAGTTGACAGCATCGATTTCTCGCACAATCCAATCACGAAACTTTTCATCCGTCACATCTCCATCCTTAAGCTTCTCTGCCAACAGATCACGGCCTTTACTTATAAGAAAGCCAATAGTGGCCTTAAAAACACTATTCAATATTATTCCTGCCATTTCCTCTTCAGAAACTATTGAAGTCTGTACAAAGCGATTGAAATTTCCGTTTGGCACAAGCAGATATTGGAACAGCTAATCACAAGACCTACGGCATCAATCTAAAATAATTCCCCTACCTATTGCATCGTCGCTCGTTTTATCGATGATTTGGGTTTCAAATGCGACTTGCTGAAAATGCACATATTTGTTTGGTAAGGTCATGAAACTCCCATTCTTGACTTCTGCAACATGCCCGTGCAGATAGCGATTGATTCAAGTGGACGAAAAAAGCTACTTTTCAGAAAAAATACCACAAACATATTTGTTTGGTAAGGTCATGAAACTCCCATTCTTGACTTCTGCAACATGCCCGTGCAGATAGCGATTGATTCAAGTGGACGGAGTCGCCCATGAATTCTAAGTTACATTCGATTATTTTGTTTTTTACGATTTTCGGTGTGATTCTTTATTCGGTTTGCTGGGGGTGATATCTAAGTTTGGTGGAAAAAAAAGGAACAAACAGACGCGTGACTGTACCACATAGTTGTGACTCGCCAATATATTGTGACTCGCAATTATTGCACGTAAACAGTGATTAAATAGTCAGTCTGAGACTGCATGTGACTACTGATAGAGCACATTTTTTTATGGCTCAAACCAGAAATGAAGGTCTTATAATGACGCTAGAAGGGAGTTTTGTGGGAGATTTGTATTCACATGCAAAACAGAAAACATGTTAGATCCCACATATCTATGAGTACCTGTTCCACATGAGAAAGATGATTCAAGAACCATGCAAAGCGCCTAAATGGCATTTAACCAATAATTAAATGGCCAAAATTGAACATGCATGTTAACAATAATAATGATAACAATAGAAATACAATAAAATTTTAAAGGGTTAGTTCGAAAGCTTTACGGTTCCCTTATCCTCAAAGCTCTAATAAAAATTAAGCTGTGCTTCTTTTTATTTTCCTAGCTGTTAATTTTGATCAATTTTCTTATTTTATTACAATTCCATTTTTGCAAGATTGTTGTTTCACACACGCCTTTGTGCGTGTTAGGATATTCCGTCATTAAATGTCACATCAAGGACTGAAAAATTGGATTTTTTTTAGGTACAAAACAGTTTGCTTCAGAGACATTCTTCTTTCTTTTGTGTACGCACTCAATAATCTCCAGTGCGAATGTCAAACTAGGAAAACAATCCAGAACAAAAAGTAAATGACATCGGGTCAAAATCAGGTGAAGTTCGGCGCTCAATTGCTATCTCGCCTCCAACAGGAGATAGTAGCCATAACAAATATGGGGAACTAACCGACTGACAGGTCCTCTAAATAAACAGGAGTGAAGACAATGAAAACTCGGACTTCGTCAACGTCAATAAATAACCAGGTTTATTTGTTGGCAACGTTTTCCAAGTTTAGAAGACGGTCATTGGCGATTTTCTCTAATGAGGGGTGATTTTCGATTCTACAATTGATCACCGATAGAGGATAAAGCGAACTGACATTCACGCTTAAAAACACGAGTGCTTCAAGCTGCTCTGAGATCGATGTCTTAGCTTACTTTGTTTCACCGGGTGTGAAAACTGAATCAACAGCTGACAAACGTTCGAGCTTAAGAGTGTGCAAATCGCTTCCTGATGCCTGCGCCATCTGATTTTCCTCAAGAAGCCATTGGCTAAAGGTATTTGCGAGAAAGACAGAGTTATGTGCAAACCACTCATTATACTAATTTTTGAAAGGAAGCAAATTTTCTCACTCCAATGGAGGGAGAAAGTATTTCGGTTGGAATCCTTTTTGATAAAAATTTCTTAAATTTTTTCAAAAATTCTTAATTTAACCTAATTCTTGAAGCAAACAAGGTCATACAATGAGGCCTCATTTCTTTTATTGGGAGGCTATATGTCTGAACTCTTCGCATATCAGGTCCTGAAATTATAAAAACTGCATCCATTGCTGGTGATCTTACCTTTGACCCGTTGGCCGTCATGTTCAACTTGAAATCAAAGGGCGTTTCCTATCTATCAGGCCTGGCCGGTCAGACCGGTCAATTTCAACATGACTGGATGCTGACAAAGATTCCATTAGAACAATTGATAGAGCTTGGGAATTGACTGATCCGGTTAGAAAGTTTCGATAACTAACGAATTTCTCTCAATGTTGAATGGAATGATCTGGTCAGCCGGTTTTACATTGGTAATTGTACGCGCGTATATATTGAGGGACAGAACTCCAAAAGAAGGTAACGGTATATTTCGAAACTTTACCACATTAAAGGCAGAATTCTAGGACATATTTTTTTATTCCCATACAAACGAAACTGGTCCTTTGAACTTCAAATTCAACAGCTTCCTTCAAGCCTTAGTAACTGTATTATATCTGCGTTAGCAGGTTACGACTTTTAACCGAAGCAGTTTTCGCAAAGCAAACAAGAAGATATGATAAAACCTTTTTCGAAAGCGCGCCATGAACATTGTCCTGTGAACAATGACTGTGAGACAAATAATCTATGGTGGAGTACTGGTGGGGAATTTTTCTCGATAATTTTCATCTTTCACTTTCTGACATATCTCCTGATGTAGCGGCATTGCTCTAGACCAGCCCACAGTTCTTCATTTTCCATCTTATTCTTCGTTTTCAGACTTATTACGCTTTTTTCTTTGAAAGTTTTTTCCTTTAGCGAGTGCAATGGTGGTAAGCTAGCAGGAGGGAGAATTTTAGACAACAGCCTCTCGCGCGCTATATCTTGGCTTTCCATAACGCTTGTTGACTTTTCGTGAAAGGGACTCTTCTTTGCCGAGGCTGCTAGGGAAGTTGACTGTGTTGAGGTGAGCTGATCGCTGTTACTGACTTTGGCACCAAGAAAATGTACGTATGGCGTCTCTCGGCTTGCAAAAATTCGGCTTTCGGTTTTGAGATTTCCTTCGATTGCCAAAATTCTTCTGACACGAGAAAAACCGCTGTAAGAAACAGAGGAAATGTTATTGTAATCGACACCAACTTTCTGAGAATATTTTCTTTTGTTATTAGGAATATTTTTCTCAGGGATTAGCCCCTGTGAGTCAAAATTTCTTGATATTGAACACAAGAGCTCCTGTGAAGTTGCCCAGCCGTGAACCACTTTGTAACGTTCTTGTCCATCAGCTGTCCTCGCACAATGAATTTTTTGAGATGAGAAGAAAGATGTGAACAGACGGATAATGGTGTCTTTTTGTTGTTTCAGAAGCTTCTTTTTTTCAGCTGTTCCTTGTTTATCTATTTGCTTCTTTACTTCTTTAAGTCGCCTTTCTTCATGAGCGTTTAGCATCGTGATTCTCTTCGCTTGAAAGCCGTCCAAAGTGAACGGTATTTCCCCAAACTGACTCTCCGCTCTGATCTTTGAAGCGCACCGTTGCGTCATTTGTCTTAAGAATAAAAGAGGACTCTCTCTCTGATTATAAGCGATGAGAGACTAACCAATGAACGCCGGTTCTGGATAAAATGAATTTGCCTTATCGAGGATCGACGTACCTACACTGATTTCAAGAAATGAACTGAACTTATTTATTGATTGGCAAAATGATTTCTGATTGGCAAAAACAATTGTTGGTACACTGAGAACTGTGACCCCTGTGACTTCGTGGAGAACCTCCGGCACCATGGCGGAAACCATAATTTTAAACGTATTAGTTACCAAAGTGTAATTATCTCTCAAACCAGTTGGGTTAGCTCTGAACGCAATTTGATCCAAAATTTCAGCCATCTTAGCTGCATAGTTTTTTTTTGTATAGCAGAGGGAGACTCCAAGATTATGCACTCGATCATATTTGAGCGTGCGTCGCTTCTATATAATACCCTGGTACTAAAAGCTGTTCACTATTCTATTGTTATCTGAAAAATTACAGGAAATTAAAATTTAGTTCAGGGGAAGTTGGGTAGCGACAACAAGTCTTGAGCGGCACATCTGGAAAGATGTGCTGATGATAAAAACTGTGGAGATATGCGGTATCTTTTTCATATCTGAATTTTGTTACATTGTGTAGAAATGGGAGAGGTAAAAAGGGAAGTAGGCCAATTTTTCGTCTGTATAAAAGGCACACAATGCACTTTTGAAGGCTCTCTTGACGAAGAGTCACGAACACTAGCGTGACAATCGATTTGACGTGACGTACATTCTTCTCGAGAAGGTCTGGAGTCAAATTAGCTGCTACAAGATGGCGGCTGCCTCTCTATTATTCTGTCGTTCGTCAAGACACCTTTCGTCGAGGATTAGAGAGTTTTGCTCAAAAGTTAGTACTCTAAAAAAAGAACGAAAAAAACTTTTATTCGATAAAAATGTGCTTAATGTGTTTCCTGGTTGCATTTCAGGCCGTCATTGATCGTGGGGTCGTACTTGGCGTGTTTGAGGTGGACAGCGGTCATGAAAAGAAATCTGATGAGGTCGATGTAGAAAATTTCTTCACCGAAGCAGCTAAAAAATTTAACTCAAGAACTTCAGGAAAGCTCACGGAGATGATCAAATTGTGAGAAATACCTTTTTAACTTTGCTTGAAACATTTTGTTTAGTTTTTTTTTTAAACTTGTCAATAACTTTGTCATTTCGTGACAGTTGGTGTTGTGTGACAATATTGTATCTAAGTAATGTTCATAGGCACATATCAAAAAGAGAAGGTCTTAACGGTAGTTTGACTGTCACTGAAGGCGCTTAACCTAGCACTCACTATATTTTGAAGGACTTACAGGTCTCACAGGGATATACCACTAGTATGGAAACTGGGATAGAACACAAGTGGAGAAGATGAGCCCCTAACAATTATATTGTAAGGGAAAACTACTAAGAAATGATATAGGAATTTATTGAATGTGTTACGTTGATACCAATAGGTCTGGATTTAAGGGAAAAATTGGCAAATCAAAGACATACTTTGGCATTGATAAGGTGCGTATTCTTTAAAATGTACTTAGTTCTTTTTTTTAATTTCTAAATTTTACAACAGACATTGATAAATTATTGTAATTTTGTCCATTTTTTGAAACATAGTATATTTACTGCTTGCAAAGGACATTTTATGATTTAATATTTTTTGATGTGTTAAGGTAACAATAAATTTGTGATAGTGACCATGATTTGTTTAACTGTTTCAAACTTAATTGAGGATACTTTTAGTCCATGAGATTTTTAAGGCTGAATTCAATATTTTTTTGGTAAGGAGAACCTTTTTATTTTTAAATGAGAAATTGTTTAATTTTCATGTTGGAAGTGTAAGTAGTATTTCTGTTGATGGAGTAGAAGGTGATCTCGGCACTCTGTGCTTTGAAATGTGTCATAAAATATTGCCTTTAATTGTAAATATTTATCTGAGGTAAATATCATTTTATGTCCACTTGTGGATACAAATGTGTCCTCTGGTGTTGATTTTGTCTCTCAAGAGTTAACACAGGGAACAAGTGAAAGATTATTATATCAAGGGGACAGCTTTTAATTAGCACACAGTCTTGTCAGCAAGCTTCAGTCTTTTTCTCTCTTATTCTCTTTCAGGATTACCCTTGTGTTGTTGTTGTTGGTCTGGGTAAAAAGGATATTCAGTCTGATTCAGAGACAAGTGAAGAAAAGGAATCTTGCAGCAACTACAGACAGGCTTCAGGGGGTGAGCTTTCTGTTATTACATGTATGGTAGCACTTGAAACCAAAACATTTCACTGTAAATCATTTAACACTCCAATAAAATTTGCTTTCTTCCAAACATGAGGATCTTTGAAGCCCAATTGATAGTCAGCACCCAACTAGTACCTAGAGGTAACATGTGCAAACTAAGTCATCACGCCTTGGATTTTTCAGAATTTCTGATTTTTTTTTTCATAAATAACGTAATTTCAGTTCACTTGAGAGGTCATTTTGTCATTTGTAATCAACCACAAGTCTTAATCCAATTACTTGTAAGCATAGAAAACCCGCAATCAGTAAGCAGTTATTTGATGAGAGGGGAAGGGAGGGGTGGTCTATAATGGTACATAATGTATACATGTTCAACTTGGTGTTTTTTATAAGTCAAAATAAAAGTAAAGAGAACCAAAATGTGTCTTATTCAGTGGATATGTCTCAGATTCATTGTGCAGTGTTGGACATGTACCCACATAGCTTTGTGGAAAATTCTTTTGAAATGACTTTTCAATGGTACCATTTTGTCGCAGTTGGTGTCAAGGTTCTAAGAGACTGTGGAGTGCAGACAGCAGAAGTAGATACGTTTTCAGACCCTCAAGGTAAGAAAAGTATATTTGATATGGACAGCAGTTTATGAAAGTGCCAGAATGATGTATTTTGTCTTAATGCATAAACCTTTCCATGATTAAAACAATGCAAACATCATATTCTTGTACCTATTATTTCAGCTGCAGCCGAGGGAGCAAATTTAGCTCTTTTCAGTTATGACACATTGAAATCTTCAAAGAAGTTGGAAGTGGATCTCCAGCCCCATAAGCATGTGACAGAAAGTGATTTGAAGAGGTAAATACCCTCATCTAATAAATAAATTGATAATTATAATATGAAATCAAAGTTTGTAAATTGTTTCAAAGGTGACATGGTTTTTATGAGTATAAAAACTTATTTTATTGGTGATGTTCTTGTATTTTTCCTGTCTACCCTAAGAAAGTGTGCCATGTAAAAGAGCTAACCTTGTGCAGCTACTGAATATAAGTTAACCCTCTGATCCCTGAGGGTGACTAGCATCTAATTTCTCCCCAAATGATAAAATAAGGTCACAAGAATAAAGGTACGACCACCACTGAAAGAAGCTTCAGTGGTGGTAAAAAATTTTCCTTCTCAGTACCTCTGGAAATGCATAGAGAATAGTATGGAGAACATGCACACTGATGTTAGGGTGTAAATAGTGAAAAATGCTGTAAATAATGAATTGAAGTAATATGTATCTGGCATTTGTGTTACATACGACCTATTTTTTGTTGTGATTTACCAAATGTAATCAATTTTTTGGTTTCTTAATGTGTATTGTTCATATTACTGCAGCCAAGAGGAGGAAATAAATTTCTATGCCTGGCATAAACTTTGGCAGGATGGGTTACTGTTATCTGGAGCACAAAATTTTGCCAGAGAGCTGATGGAAACACCATCCAACCTTTTGACACCAACAGTCTTTGCTGATACGCTTATCAACAGGTTTTCAGATCTAGAAAGTGTGGAAGTGTTGGCAAGGTATTTAATACACATTTCTCTGTTGCTAAATTCATGTATTTCATTATGTATTTATATTTTTAACAGAAGTACAGACAATAGTCTGTGTGACCTTCAATATGTGCATAGTCAACAATAACTTGCATAGCTGTCCAAGCATTATGTATTACATATGTATATCAGAGTTTTGTACATGTCAAACAGGCTGGGAATATGCTTTCACTCTTCCCAAGTGGGATTCCAGTCCACAGAAGGTTAACCTGGCATTTTTTAAGGTTTCCCTGGAATAGTTCATAGTTACTGATATAAACTCCTGGATGTACATTTAGAGAGCTCATTCAGAATTAAGAATGAACGTAAGTCTAATCCAGTAACTGCATGGCTCCTATTTAGTGAATGATAGACATTGCTTGGTGGAGAAATGAATTTAAATTGAATGTTAATTTATGGTGGAGTTCTAATCCCATAATAATACTTAACAATAGCACAAGAACTGATAAGTATTGCTTGTTTATTCCAGAAGTTGGTTTTACCAAGTATCTTTGTTCCCTAGGGACCAAAATTGGGCAGAAGAGCACAAGATGGGTGCATTCCTGAGTGTTGGCAAGGGCTCAAGTGAACCAAGTGTTTTCTTAGAAATGAAGTATTCTGGTGCCAAGGAATCTGATTCACCCCCTTTAATTCTTGTTGGGAAAGGTGACTGTTTATTTGATACTTCAGGAATCAGCATGACATTTATACAGTCCTGAACAGAACTCTTCCTGGCAAATAATTGTTTTGTTCAATGGCAATCTTTTCAACCTGGAAAGGTTCAGATAAAAATATTTTTCTCATTCTTGAAATGGGATAAAAAAAGTAACTTAAAAAAAAATGGGATTTAGCAGTGGACATTTCATGAGGTGGCTCTTCTTATCCACTGGTTATAGGTCAATTTGGAATTTAGAATGTTGGTTTTCATGTATATATAAAACAAAGGCATTAGGGATATTTTGCTTTCTTTCTTTTCACTTGTTGATTTGCTGGTGGGTGGATGGGGAAATAGACTAATGGACTGACTTACCAGTTGATTTTAATTAAAATAAAGGGTTTGCTCTTGAAAAAATATAGAATCGTTTTTGTTTTCTGGCCAGTTGATATTCCTTTTCTCTCCTTACAGGTGTGACATTTGACAGGTGTGTAAATGTTCTTTGAGTTGATCAACAAAAGTGTACAATACTTGAGTTTAAGTTAAGTCACAAATGTCTTGGATATTACTAACACCACATGTTGTTGCTTTGACATGTTGTTGCTTTGACTTTCCTTTTCATAGGGTTTGTTTGAGAAGGGATCAGTGTTATTTATGTCTGTGTTGGCTGCACTTTTGTTTTAATTTTTTTTTCATTTCTTTTGTTAGTGGTGGTATCAGTATCAAGCCAGCTGCTGGAATGGGGCTCATGAAAGCTGATATGGGTGGAGCTGCCACTGTTAGTGCAGCATTTGAAGCCATAGCAAGGCTAAAAGTGCCAATCAATGTCACAGCCCTTGTTCCTTTGTGTGAAAATATGCCATCAGGATGTGCTAACAAACCAGGAGATGTCATCACCGCAATGAGTGGGAAGACTATTGAGGTAACTCAATGAAATGGTCTGGGTATATTTACAGATCCCACCATATAAATTTAAACGTTGGTTTGTAATGAAATTGTCATACCTACGATCTAACCTTGTTTTGGGACACAACACCCCAGCTACCCTTACTTTCTTATCACACATTTAAAGACTAACCCATCGAAATAAAATGAGAGAGGTTTTGGGAGCAGAAGAGTCACATTTGTGTGCGTGGAAGGGGCGGTCTAAGATGTCATACCATATAAAACTAAGAACAACGCAAATCTCGCCCGACGTCGAGGTAATCTAGTGCGTTATCACGCCCAAAAACCATGGGGTTATGTGAGTATGCCAAAAAAGCCTCAGAATCAACAGAAAAAACGACGAAGGACCGTGCTGAAGAGAGAAGTGAGGCAGGGAAAACGTATCTTTTCTTTTGCCAAAGGAAAGTTGTAAAAAATCGGTAGAATGTTGAGCAAAAATGGGAAGCTGGAAACAAGACGTTTCCGACTAAAACGGGAGAGTTGGAATCTCTGTAAGTAACGGAGTTCTTTCAGAGCAGTTAACAGTATGTTGGGCGGGGGATGTAGTTCAAGGATACTGAAGATTTTTTTCTAACTTAAGTTTCGCACATCATGACTTCTAGCCAACTTTTTTCATTAAATGTGCGCGTGGGGTCGTGTGGGTTAGTAGGTGCGTGCGCTATAATTGGTCAATTTAGCGGCCCGTATTTCCCTGTATTTCCGAAGTTTTGGAATCGAAACTCTACCCAGATATAAAAGAAATATCTAACTTACCTCGTCTTCTAGGTCCGTAACGTACAATACCGACCTTGAATTCGCTTAGTAAGAGGTATGTCACCCATTCTTTCGAAGGTTGACAATACTGATGCCGAAGGAAGACTCATTCTTGCCGATGCTCTTTGTTACGCCAGCAAATTCAACCCTCGTGCCGTTATTGATGTGGCTACACTTACTGGTAACTGTCTCGGTCATACTAAGTTTTGTGTCTGTATTATTTCAACAAGGGATTTTATAGAACAGATTAAGATGCGACTCATCTATATGTACTCAACATCCTGTGTCGCTTCAGTCAAAATCTTTGATTAACAATGATACCTCTTTTCCTTTGACCATTGTGGAACCATATAGGAAGTATTGTTGTATAGGTTCATGTAACCAAAATTTGATATAATCACCTATACTTCAGTACGTTCAGTTCTAACACAGTTTTTTACAGGTGCGATGGATATCGCCTTAGGACAAGGAGCTACAGGTGTGTTTACAAACTCTGCAACATTGTGGCACTGCATTTTTCAGGTAAGAAATTCCGATACTAACATAGCAGCCTTCTTAAGTTTTTGGGAATTCAGTCGAAAACTCTGTTTTTTATGCATTCATCACTTTCACGTTAGAAGTAAAAAATTCCTAACGTTATCCTACTGGTCAGGCTAAAATCAGACTAAATTTAATCGATGGTGTCTTTGGGCGGGGGTGTTAACGGTTTCATTGTAACAAAACAAAGCAGGGCATTCCCTACTCCTCTGAAATGCGCATACACCACAGCCTTTCCTTTAGAATTTCTAAGCTCATTAAATACCTTTTAAAGTTTGTCTGTCAGGAAGCCTGGCTAAACCAGTGTTTTGTTTAATTGTACATTCAGGCTGGGTTCGATTGCGGGGAGCGAATGTGGCGCATGCCATTATACAAACACTACACCGAACAGATACAGTCCGACGTGGCTGATTTAAGAAACACTGGAAAAAAGAGGTAAGATGGAAGAATTGAAGATGGGTGGGAATTGGGAGAAGAATGGAAGAAAATGGGTGATGGAACGTGACTCTGGAAATAGAAGGAGTGGTTGGATTGTTATTACAAAGGAAGCTGTTGCATTCTATAAAGAAACGCTGTCGATGAGACGGATATCACAAGAACTCAGTTACATAGTTTAATAAAGAGAAAGGAAATTCCGAGCAATCTGTAGCATTCGCTGCCTCTCGTTTCAGAAGTAATAGTGCTTGAACCATTACTTAATAGAACAGTTTGTATTTATTTTATTGTGAGACCGAAAGTGTTACTAAGCGCGTTCTCCACGCCTCCACGATTGATATTTTAACCAAGTTTAGGTAAATAAGTGTGTGTTATTTGACCAAACGTGAGATCAAGATGGGTAAACATTGGCCGAGTCCTTTTTTCGCGGGTGATCCAGTGCCCTCTCGCCCGCTCGGGTTGCCAATCAGAATGCTTCATATTGCCCACGGGCGCTGCCAGCTGTATAATAACCATTTTTTCTGTTTTGTTAGGTCAGCTGGATCGTGTACTGCTGCAGTTTTCCTCAAGGTAATTGTGAATCACGGTTCAAGTGAACCTCTCTGGGCAGAGAAGATAATTAAGGGAAATTTGTGTTGAGAATTTGACTTTGAATACAAGGTTATCTGAACGCTGTAATTTTTTTTGTAGGAGTTTGTTGACGCTAAACATTGGGCTCATTTTGACATCGCCGGTGTGATGGACAACAGTTCGAATGCTATCCCTTATCTCAACAAAGGCATGTCAGGTAAGGTGATACCGGAAACATTGACATCATTGACCAGGGAGAATATTGCGTACATTGCGTACATATTTCACCCAGATAGGAAAGGATAATTCATGAGGTTTATGAGACCCTTCGGGTCCTGGGCATTAGACCCCAGCGAAGGCCCCAAAGCATTAATGCGCCCGTTATCAAAACCGGTAATTTAGTCAGTAACTTTTCTTGTCTTCTCTTGTCGATGAAGAGTTAAAAGGTAGATTTTAGAGAAGTCCATACTCTTATCTTATCACATTACACGATATCACATTCTTTACTTTACTTAATTTCTTTTAGGTCGACCAACAAGAGCCCTTGTGGAAATTGCTAGAAAACTCGCAGTCAACAACTTGGATTAAAGGACTGAATTCAACCTGAAGAGAGCATGTCACATTACTGAATATGTTTTCGTGAGAGAGTTTGGCAGAATAAGGAAAATAGAACGTTCACCCATGATTTTACACCACTCTTCTTAGTAGCACGGAAAAAAAAGGTTCACGGTTGCACAAATCAAATCCTGTGGGAGAAAAATACTTTTGGAAGTTTTTATTTTATTGTTCCGTGAACAAATTTGGCCGCGAATCACTCGGGTGTAAATGTTCATGGTGGTATGTTTTAAATCCTAAAGACTGTCACCAGCCGGGTTTGAACTATAACGCAAAACCCAACATGCTTCATTAAAGAACACAACAATTACCAACAAAAAATTTTATTAACTTCGAAGAAGACTTTGATTATAGGCTTTGAATCTAATATGTCTTTAGAACAGCAGTTGCGCCGCAAAGTAATATGAAACTGAACATCTAAGTAAATAATAACGGAGGAGTAGACTTAGGATAATAATGAATTACTATTTAAAATAATGTAAACTTAATAATTAAATACTTTTTTCAAACCTGATAATAACATATATTTTTTCTGAAGCATCAATCATTAGATCAAGATTTTCCTCTTGAAAATAAGTCGGAGCTTTATTGAGAGACTAAAAAGAACGGTGATATTGTTACCTTTTCTTCCAATAACCTTGGGCAACTGCTTCGCACGGTTACTAAAATATTCAAGTTGACTCTTGCAGGTGCCTTTTCGTGCAAACATGGCCTCTCTGGAGAGAAAAGACCTTTCTATGAACGGGGTCAACTATTCAATACCCTAGAGGCTCTGATACCCTGTTATGATTAAGTACCCAGAGACTCTAGCACCCTTTTCTATTCATTACCTTAGCGTACCCTACTTAAGTGGTTGGAACACACTAATCGTCTATCACAACAGCTAGGACTATTTAGTCATCGTCGTGTTCATCTCTCTCAGTTACCAAGGGAGTCATAAAGAACTGGGCCATGAATCTGCCTGAGTCACGCAATCCTTCATATATGTCGTCACGCCCCAGTCCAATCCGTGGTTTGACCTTAACGCCGTCGATATAAAGTCTCTTGGCGCTGACAGTCACGTAAGGCGGACCGTTTTGTAAGCGTCCTTCAAATGTGATCTGGGAAAGAAAATACAGAACAAGGACACAGTGATGTATCACTGCTGTAATAGGGGGGTGGGGGGGAGGTGCACAGGAGAGGCAAGTTTGCAGGCTTTTACAGTACATCGGTTTTATCTCGAACTTCCTAAGGACAGCTAAAATGGTCCTCGATAACAAGGGCAAGACAATAGTAATATAATTATGGAGGTCCGCGCCTAGACACGCGTTCATAGTTCGACATACCTGGATGATGGACTGCACTGCCAATAATTTGCAAGCAAAGCGACAATGCTACAGAATTCAGATCATCTGGGGCCATGATAGCCATGAGCTCATCAGTTTCAGTAACGTCAAATGTTACCCTCGTTAAATTAAGTCTACAACCACTCCTAAACTGAACTTAATTTGTCAAACTTTCAGAGTGAGAGCTCTATAGTAGAAAGGAACTAAGGACTGTGAAAGGAAAAAAAGACAAAATTTGAACGTCGTTGTTATACCTGTGTGTATTTTTGTAAAGTGACCATGGAATGATAGAAGCGATGCTTCACTGTAACTTGAATCACTTCACTGCTGTGTGACTTGGAATCCGTCATGTTCACCCCAACAGAAAACGTGTACCTGTCAAAAGTTTTAAGGTGGCACGGTCCTCTCGCCCTTGGGAGCCATGAGCTTTTCTGAGGAGAACTAAGGACAAAATGAAAAAAGAGAAAAACGTTGAAATTTTTGAGTGAATGCATGGGGAAAAATATATAATCTGAGGAGTCAGTTTTGATTTTGCGGTTGGATACAATCAGCTTGGCTAGAGAGAGCTAGCTGGGGAGTTAGAAACACAAGAAACTTCTTCCAGAGCGCAACTGAACTTTTGAGAAATTAACGTAAAGTTTTCACAGCAGTTTCGCATCTGGGGATAAAACGAGAATTGTGCTAGGTGTCCATACATACCACGCAACAATATTTCAGCAATAAATTACCACAAGAGGCGTAACATTGTGACGATTTACGCCTAAGTTTTCTCTTACAAGCATTTTTTTTTTGTGCTTTCAAACAGAAGTTTAAGGAGAAAGTTAAAAATATTCCGAAGGTGGTTGAGTAGGGGCCCAAAAGAAATTGTGAAGGGGGGGGATTAACAAGTCTAACCTGACAATATTGTCATCTTCTTCTCCTCCAAGGAGGCACTTGAAAGTCGGCCGCAAAAACACAGGCAGGAATGCTAACAGGCGTCTGAAACGATTTTCCAGTGAGGTTACCTTGACATAAGCCACAGTTCCAGTCCAGTTCACTGACTCACCCTGAAATTCAGAGCACTGTATCTGTACTGATGCCATGTTCACATTTTCACTTTCCCTGGCCTCCAATCCACAAGTTTTGGAATACTCTGCCCAAGTCAAGGGCTTTGGGGAGCCATATAGAGAAGGGACAAAATTGACAAAAACAATAGGGACCAAAAGGCAAAACACCGCTAGGCCCGCCACGATCATTAGCAGTTTCTTCTTGCGCTGGAGTTTGCCCGAATAGGGAATTTCCATTTTGGAGTAATAGAAGAACACTGATGTAACTGCGAGGATGATTGCAGTAACAGCAAGTTTCAGAGCGATGTCAAGAGTCATAAACCACTTCAAGAAATAAGTGATTGTAAGACCAACGGTGAATAGGAACAGAAAGGGTAGCATGGTGACAAAAATGACCCACCCCACCGTGGCACGAAGCAGGCTCGCCCATGAGGTGAAATGGAATAATTCAGTAAAAAGCTGACACCAGAGTAGGCACACTGCGTGTGGGACAAGTACTTTATATATGCCTCGCCAAGAGTGACGACCCGCCATGATGATGAGTAAAACAAGGATGACCACGTGAAGTAGGGAGGGGAGGCTGATTGCTAATTCCAACCCATAGGGAAGTGGCACTACACAGAAAAACGGAAAAAGCAAAAAGTTAAAACCAACATACTTTATAATCAAGTAACACTGAGTGGCAAGTGATACTTACCCCTAGAAATAGGATAGCACAGGACACCCAAGACTCTTACATTCTCCATGCTTCGTAACCCAGTTGTCATTAGTTTAAGGAGAATAGTGTACAATGCATAGTCATCATATTTGTCAGGCAAACCTCTGAAAGATGAAACTAGTTCAAATACAAGCACAGTTAGAAAAGGATAAAACTACTAACAACTTGCTTCAAATCCCACAATATTCCAACAACTACTATCAGTTTAACATTTTATCATTAAGACAATCAAATACATGCATTAATCTTTTGATTATGGGGTCATCATTTTTCTACATAAGCAATTGAATGACTGTCCCAAATTACTATCTGCAACCAATCAGAGGATGGGAAATTTGCATTGTTTAAAGAACTCAAGTGCAAGATGTATTAAAGGTTTTTTTCATTGCTGATAAAGTGCAGACTGAAGCACCTCAAAATCCAAGTGGGCTAGGGAAGGAGATAGAAGGATATGTACTCCCTGAAAACTTTGCAGGGAATTTTTATCCTAATTGACAACAAAATATTAATTTTTTTTTTCACTGCCATTTCAGACCTGACCCAAAAATTATTACTAGCACTATTTCAAGATTTTTTGGAACAGCTATGATGGAAGAAGAGCCTAATAAACTTATACCATGGAAAAATATTTATAATTTCTTTTAACTAAATTTTATTATTTTAAGACCAATAAACTAGATGAGCATGCAATCTCAGAATGCAAATGACTACAGTTAAAATCAATACAATGAATTATAATCAGGAAAAAAAAACAGCTCCATACAAGTAGGATCAGCCATACCCTCTAGTAAGCTACAGATCTACCTAAATCTTGGACAAAATTTGTAAGAGAATTCACATAAATTCCATATTTGAGTATACCAATAAAAACAGGGTCATGTTCACCTGTAAACAAGAGAGCCACCAAAGACATTTCAGAACATGGGATCCATTGCTTGTCACAAAGTGGAAGAACTGCTACTGTTATCAGCAAAACAATGAAAAAATACACATACGGAGCTGAAGATTTCCATATAAATGTCCTTTCTGTCTCTTGTGCATCAAGTCTTGGATCAAATCTAGACAAAATTATGAAATTAAATAAAATTATTATTGCATAACAGAATCATGTGGTTACTTCATTTACATTTAAAATAAATGGTAGATGGAGCTGTTAGTAGAAAATAACAACTATATCACGTCATGCAATATTGATTTTTACAATTACATTAAATGGATCTTAATATCATTATATCATGGGGATTTTTTTTAACATCACAAAAATAACATGCAGTTACAACATACAGCCCAGCCAGCTCATCAATAAGTTCTTTAGAGCTAAGTATTAGGTAGAACATTAGACCATGGGATTGGAATCAGCAGGGGTGTGAGTTCTTTCTTACAGGAGCCATTAATTTCTTTTGGTCCCCTTTGTTACTTTTTTCTTCAACAATACAAATCAAAACAACCTCCAAGACTAGCTGGAAAAAAAAAAAAGACAGCTGAGAGAATCACTTACTTTTTCATGAGCTCTGCAACACTCCGTAGCTGCCGCAGAGCTTCTCTACCATAAAACATTTGAAGTGAGAACACCACCAGAGAAATGAATGCAATATAGAACACAACCAGTGGGACAAGAAACCACAGAAAATCTCCAGTAAGATGGCTGTAGATGTACAGAAGGAACAGCATGTGTATTTGAGATGTTGGAATCAAGGACTTCAAAAAACTTGATCCTTCCTTTGAAATCTTCACAAGAAGGAAATGTTTGGCATATTCGAGGGATTGCTGTGGAAACTGCACGACCTAGATGAGGGTGAGAAACTGACATTAAAAATAGAGCAGAAAATGATACAACACTTACCTGATAATTATCACTATCATCCATTCTCCTAACAAAGTCCATACAAGCTGTTACAAAGTGTGCTTATAGCAACTTTGTTCTGAGTTTTTTAAGTTGTAAGTGTTACAAAGAGAAGTATGCTCCAGAAAATGTATAATTTCTACTTCTGTCATTCAAAAGTTATACATTTACCAATAAAATTGTAAGAATTAAAGAGCAGGAAGATTCTAAATTTAATTAATTAAATACTCACCCTGGGCCTGAGATGTCTTCTTTGTGATAAATGAATAACACTTAATAAAAATAAGAGCCTGAGATGACAAAAACCCCAAAAGTTACTAATCAATAATATAAGACAGTCACCACTGGACTTGTAGAAATGACTTTTAAATGCTAGGTGTGCTACATACCTTTTCTAGTACAGAAGCTTTTTGAAATTTCTCCATGTCCTCTTTACTGAGCAGGGTAACAACTTCTGGTACTTCACCCCTAGCATATGCCAAAGCTGTATCCTTCATCTCACTCAGAGTGAATTCATTCTGTCCACCAACTGTCAAAGCATTCATCAACAAGCTCATGAGGCTTAAATCTTGTTTTATCTCTTCCTGGTCTTTCTCTAAATCTTCAGTGGAGGTGGTTTCCTGACTTGCAGTCTCTTTTTCCTACAAAGTCCATGTATAATTACCAAAACCTATAAATGATTGATATTTTCTCACGATCATCCAGATATCCCAGCAAACCAACACAAACTTTTTGACCTGTTGTATTTTTCTAAACTAAGGAATAAAGCTCAAATTCAAAATGGTTAATTTTGACAAATTATGAAAGCAGTAGACCCCCCAATATCCCAAGTGGGTTATTGCACTGTTTAACAGATAGAAAGTGGGGTCTATTGATTTTATAAAATAACTATGGCTTTTATACCAGTGCAAAAAATAATAGGTTTTTGACCAGTCAGGGTGGTTATAGTTTCTCAGTTGTGTTATAAAATGTAATAAACCTTTCATAACATGGATGGGTCAATCTGCCCAGGCAATGAAACAATTAATCTGCATAAATCAACTAATAGTACAAAGCACCTGGGTTGTATATAGGGGTCTGTGTTAGAGCCATATAATACAGTTACCAATCTTGTTGAATAAATTCCAAATAATTTAATGAAAATCACCTAATATTAATCAGTACCTTAAGTTTTGCCTCTGCTTCTTTCAGAGCCTCATCAATATCTTGAAGAGCAAGCTTGTCTTCATCATTCTTTTTCAAAGAATTATAAAGAACTTCTACAGCATATTGAAGTCTTTTGTCCTCCTCTTTTGTATTGACACACCACACCACTTCATGTTCATTCTCTGCATTGATTCCATCTCTGTCCTTTAGACATTTTGCTAAGATAGCTGTGGCTTTCTTGTCTCCTCGTTTGGAAATTCCAATTAAAATGTTAACTGCCTCTTCTTTTTTGTCCAGGGCTGATGATTTTAGCAGCTCTTCAGCCTGTGATATTTTTCCTTCCATGGTCAACAGTGTGAGATATAACTGGATTTCTGAACAAAATGCAGCTAAAATCCGTGAAACCTGTTGATCAAAATTCAAACCTGTAACCTAACTGACAAAACTTTTCTTAAAAACTATGTACTAAAGCATGAACAATAGATGAAAATTGATGATCAGAACCTCAATCAACAACAACTGAGTATAATTAGTTAATTGGCCTCGACTGACATCAGTCAATTGATGACCAATTAATAATCACACAGAAGTAGTCACAAACTTCATCAATTGACCATCACTGATAGCGTTCATGATAAATTCCCATCTTGTGAGTGTATGCAAAGTGAATATAGTTCTTCAGTGTTTGGTGGAAATGTTTGAGATGAGATAACCTTATTCATCATTATGGTTCCAGGGCACAAATATGTCCAGGCACAGATAAACACACCAATTGCTATTGTATAAACCTAGAGTCAGAATTACCCAAGCCTTGTGCTTTACAGCTCCTAAGAGCTGCAGTTTTCCCCTTTCAGAACTTTCGGTGAAATATGAAGTACGTGTAGGTTACAACTAAATTGCAAAACCTTTCAGGAAATGAAAATACATCTCGGCGAAAACATACAGGAAAATCTTTGCCACACCTAAACGTTTAGTGATATGGATATAACAAAAAACACTGCAATTGGCTCGCGACAAATACTGATAATTTAAATCTGTCACTTTGTCATTTAATCAGCCTATGTCACTGTGCTGGTATAGACAGAAAATACTCCACATGTTCACATAATGCATGTTGATGTCGCAGCTCAAATTCCTTTTCTGCCAAAATTTCTGTTCCAACAGTCAACATCTTCATCGCGTCTTCATCATTATTATCCACCTTCTAGAACCACCACATAAACTTGCATCATTGAAGAACATTTTAAAAACAAATGTTCCAGCGAACACATTCAACCTAGAGGTTGATGACTCCCCGGTGCATCTATGCGTCCCATGACGAATACGTGAGATCGAGTTAGCTGTTTGTCTTGACAGAACTAACTCCTTTGTCCCCGTTCTTCTACATCAGTATCATTCATATTAGAAAAATTAGGAAATCAGATGTCATAATCTTATGCAGAGGGCAATCAGGGGTTACAACGGTTTATGAACTCGTTTTCACTTACCCTCAGTTACTACATAAACAACGATTCTGCCATGTTGCTTCTTAATTTCCAGCAATTTGCTTGTCACGTCAGAGAGTATTGCGTGACAGACGGACTGGCTAGGCGCGATCTTGTTGACGTGTTGTTTGTAAATGGATGTCGTGGTGGAAGTTTGCTACGTGACGTCTAACAAGTGACAATTTACAAATGTGAGAAAATCCCTTGCCTGCAGACTTGGCGTAAATTTTTGGCGCTTTCCAGGTTTAGAAGGCAAGCGCGAGTTACGCGCAAAAAATGCCACATTTACAAGCACAGCACTTGTTCAGCACCTGAATCCTTCCCACCATCCAAACGGATGTTAGAATGACAGTCCCGAGCCAGAATGGGGAAGAGAATTAGACATTGTAATTGAAGGTGACTGTTTGAAGTGTTTTATTTTCACGTAAAATGAATGATCGAACTTAATTATCTTCCCACACAGAGACTAAGATTCGGTAGGCTCCTAGATAAAACAATGCACATCATCCCAACCCTTGAAAAACAGCAAGACAATGTCATCTCACTCACAAGCCACGTCTCACCAATCCCTTGAAAATTCAAACCAGATCCTCCTTTACCTCACAACAAATGTCTTAATTCTGAAGAAAGCATTTTAGTATGATGGCTATATTATAATCCTGCAGAACTTTATTTATCTAGCAATCCTATGAAAGTAAGCAGTCTTTTAAAAGATCACCATATTCCTACTGTGAAAAACACATGACTTTTCATCGATCAAAGTTACATTTTGTTACATTTTTTGACCAAGAAAAACATGAAAATGAAATCATAAAAATAATAAACCTATTGTTTATTTCAACAATGAATTAAGAGCACCATTGAATACAGTATTTGAGTTGTTTTTAACAAAAATAAATACATGTACAGATCTACCTCAATCAAGTAAAAACAAGCATGTGAACCAAAAAAATTGCTCACGCATACATGTGAACACTCCTTTTTTTGATATATCACTTTCTTCAGAAGTAACTTAACATACATTGTCTTTTGACAATACCTAGTAGATAAACATGCTTCTGAATTTCTTAGCTGATTTACTTTTAACATTTAGCATGAGTGTTTTCAGAGCATCTGGTTTCTAAGTGATGACCTTGAATGTAAATTGTGACAAATACAGATTTATTAAATTAAATATTATCCAAACAAGGAAAGGGATAACAATACTGATACACTGTCTGACTGGCATGTTCACACTTGCGAGCAATAATAATCAGGGCAGTTCTGTCCTATCACAGATATGTGTTTGTGTCCTTATAAAAGGAAAATCATGCAAAATTAACCTCAGGTAGAAATAGAGAATGTGTTTTGCAAAGCTGTTTTGGGTGTACAACTTTTAGATTATGTGCAGACTGGTATAATCATCACCATAGTACAGCCCTATCCATGAAGCATGCAATCATTGGTTAATGCCAATCATATACAAACATTAAACTGTTACAAGTATCACCTTTAAAATGTTATTTATCATAAGTAATGTACAGCAGAGTTCCATTATCTTACACTCCACATCTATCGAATTTCTACTGTTTAACCATATGCACAATAATGATCATTTACTAGACTTAAATCGCTCAGAGAATAAATTGCCTAGAGAAAAGTTGAGTGTAACTTGAAATTTTCAGTGCACCTAATTGAAAGTAAACTCATTTAATTAACATATTTAATGATCAAAAATCATAACATGATCATAATTTATTTCAATATACAAAAAGCTAAATAAAATATTGCTATTGCATGCAAACATTGGCAAAGTTTGTAAAGATTTTAGCGACTATGCCCTAAAAAATAAAGGAACAGAAGTGATTTAGGTCCTTGACTGTATCTCAGCCTTCAAGATAATACAATTTTTAACACCACCAGGATGTTGAGCTTTAGAAGATTCAAAGTCCAAGAAATCACACATTGCTTAATAGGTCACCTCTGATCTGATGAGCTGACAACCACAATTTCAATCTGTGGTAGACTGTTAAGGAATGATTCATAATAATCATGGTTTTCTTTGCAACAAATCTAGATCCTACAAGACCAGTTAATCAAACGAAGTTTAGCTGTTGCTTGACGAAACCATCTCCTTAGCCATCTTCAATATAGCTAAACCTTTTACCTGAACATTTATTTTTGTTGCCAGTGTTAAAAGGGCCACAAGCTTATAGTGAAAGGACATTTATACCACTGCAATGACACAGAGCCTAACTGACTAAAGGGGCTCATGTATGTATATTTATGTAAGTGTATAAATACATATATATATATATATATATATATATACACACACACACACACACACACACATACACATACACTCTTGCAAGTGTATAAGCAACATAAAACATATATTTAAGTTAAAGGATACAACTCGAAGTCCCCTGTCCATGGGATTGGTGATCATTAGTCCCCTTGGAATAAACACACTTTGGTTCTGTTCATTTATGTAATCTGCTAGTCTCTTTAAACACTGGTAAGAAAGAAGAAAAGGTTTAAAGAATTATTCACAACCACACAAAATAACTGCATGTACATATCAGTAAGTTTTACTTATCTCATATCAAGCAGTGAAAAATAAGTAGTAAAATTTGTAGGAAAAAATAGTGCAAGTACTGTATTGCAAGTAATATAAATGGTACGTTGACTGTACTGAAAACTTTCTACTGTTACATTCTTTTTGCAAACACCCTCCCCTTTGAAACCATCATTAAAAAACCCAGATTTATTTTGAGGTATATGGTGTCTTACCTTATTGTATTGAGTTTGTATGCACATGAAAATAAGATAAGCAGTAACACAACCCAAACATCCCTCCAGGTAAGTTCTAGGTCCAACTTTTTCAGCTTCATCAAAGATTTCATTGATGTGGTTGACTGTTTGCTCAAACTGACTCCGCTCAAGCTAAAAAAAAGAAAAAGCCTTCATATCTGGAAAATACTTGTTTATGACTATATTTGCCATCTGCTAATTTGTCAAGCTATACTGATCCCAAGTGACAATTAGCTAAAAATTAGCTTTGTCACTGTTTTTGGCATTTTTGAAACTCTTAAGTTAAATGTATTGAATATCCAAACACATGTCATCAAGGGCATTCTAAAAATATACACATGCTAAGACTTGATTGAACTGCTTGATACAATAAACAAGTTGATGGTCCAGGGATTAGGAGACTCAGCATAATTTGTCACTTATGACAAAAATAGGCCATTAAGCCAGAGGAATCTCCAGAACAAGGACAAAAAGGAGGAGTTCCAAGTGAAATGCAAGACTCACAAGATGTCGAGCTTAAAAATCTCAGACAGAACATAAACAGCTTTGGCCCTACAACTCCTCATCACTATACTAAGGTTTTGCTAGGTTCTATGAATGACATGAAATTATTGCATCAAAGATGCCATACTCTCTTTTGTAATCATCTTCCTAATTTATACATGTAAGCCTCCACAACACATTTCCAAATGTCAATGATCACACATAATCTTTTATGGATCAAAACTCTTTTGAATGTACTTTAGTTCCAATTAGATAAAGAACCTCAACTATAAAAAAATTTAACTCTTTGAGAACTTGGAAAGAAATAAGGGTAACCGGACATTTTGTACAAAAGACTTTTCGCACAAGTCTTTTAGCACAAGTTTTGGACCGTTTGCACAATTCTTAGTGGTCATTTCACACAATAATTATAACTGAGAAACATCAATATAAAAGGTATACTGATTGATACTGATAAGACATTTCACCTTCACAAGATCCAACGGCGAGAACATAGACATTTATTATGTAATAACTTCCACTAGATCGAAATGCTCGTGAACACAATCACTATTCTTACTTGAAGAAAGGAGGGGTACAAATCTCTCTCTCTATGAAAATTGTAAAGAACTCCTTATTTGAATGACTACTTCTATAACTTTTCCTTTGTTGAACAAAAAACCTTTTAGTTTTGACTGTATCATCCACTACAAACATGCAAACATGACGACCCACGCTAAGGACACCATGTTGATTTCGAAAGTAACTGTCACCAGTCTTCCCTCCTTATTCACTCGCCTTCAAACAGCATTTTTATCGATCTGTAAGAGTTTCAAATAAAGCTATTGAAAACTTCATTCTTATATCTTTGTTATATAATGAAAATTGGGCATACTGGTAATATTGAAAGTGACATGTGAAGGTGAAATGTCTTATTAGTATCAATTAGTATACCTTTTATACTGATGTTTCTCATTTATAATTATTGTGCGAAATGACCGCTAAGAATTGTGCGAACGGTCCAAAACTTGTGCTAAAAGACTTGTGCGAAAAGTCTTTTGTGCGAAATGTCCTGTATTCGAAATAAGACAAGGAGACTAGTCACAGAGGCTGTTGAGATTTTGAGATTGGATAATAAGTAAAGAGGAAAGTTTTTTCTTGAGGCACCAGTACTACTTCCCCACCCCACTGAATAAGTATAATCCTTGTAGTCCCTGTCACCACTTGATAACACATACAAATAAGTAGCATGGTGATCAATTCAATACCAAGTAGACAAGAAATGAGAATAAAGAAAAATATCAACAAGGGGATTATTAGTGGGTCCAAGACCAAATACTCTAAACTAACATCATAAGAACTGTATGATAGACAGTACAGAGAGGTAATAATAAGATCTTAGGAGTGAACAGGTTTAGATATACATTTAGATGTGCTGTTTCCCTAAAAGCTGAAGTTCAAAACCCAAGTTATCTCACCAAAACAGAAATTATTGAGGATGAAATGAAGGATTACAGGTGTGATCTTGAGAGTAAAAGCATGAACCTATCAATAATTGATATTAAACAAATAATGGAACTATATGGAACATTAAATATAGGTACTATCTCCTCTATAGGTTGAAGCAAAAGTCAGAAATTCTACAAAATATAGCCAACTAAAATTTTCTTACCCCGCTTCTGAACTCTGATAAAGTGCATCATTCCAACCGATCAGATGCTACCGGTATGTTATATTGGAACTTGAACAATTTTCATGAAAACATTTTCCATGTTTTGACTCATGAAACCGTTCTCTTGAAAACATTGTAAATTTATTTCTGCACCCTAAAAAATTTCCAGGAGAGTGCATTCCCTCAGACGCCTCTAACGGCTCGCAAACTTTGAGTTAAATCATCGTTTTTCCGCGCCTACTCTTTGCTCGTGGTCATCCATCACTAATTAAGATCATCTTTCGCGTCGACTCAGTTTCTTTAAGAGTTTGTTTACCGTGCAAGGTTAGAAATTATTGATTGCTCGCTTTCCTGAATTTGCAATAAACGAGTTTCCTCGTATTTCTAGCGAATAATTAACAGAGAAAAGTTGAAAAAAACGCCAACTTTATGTGCGTGTGTGATATTTAACAAAATAGTAGAAACAAACTTGATCGACCAGTTGACCGAACCCACAGATATACAACAAACATAAATTATACAGACTTTGTCTCGACCAGCAAATGCAGATATTACTCTGGGTAAAAAATCAAATTCATAAAAATAATATAGAGTCAAATGCACTTCCTCAGACCTACCTTTCCTTCTAATTCAGGTGGAAACTTATTTTGAAAGCGACATGCAGTTCCGCGCGAGTAGTCCCTCTGGATGAAAACTTTAACATTTCGTTTTGAGGGATCGTCGGTGGACACCTGACAGACATTTTAGTACAAGTAAAAAGATAAGTTTTTTTCTAAAGCGGCGTACGCTGTTCTAAAAAAAACCAACGTCTAAACACGTTAATCAACGATAATTCATACTGCACCCCAACCTGAGCCGTCGCCATGTTGACTTCTTCTTGTCAAAGAGCAGCCTTGCTACCAGGCCTTCCCCGTTCAAAGCTATCGGAATAATCATTGGAATATACTATCCGCGTAGAACTACGAAATTATTGGCGGAGTGAACCAGAATATTCAAGTTACCACATTCAAATGTATCTACACCCTTTGATTCGCTTTTTTTTAGACGATCGGATGATCTGAAGAACCATGCAAGTCTTGAAGGATAAGCTTCACCGTAAGTAAAACCTGCGATATTTTTTTACTGAAATCACTGTTGAGCACTAAAGTGAATTAATTATTTGCGATCTATGCTAGCGTTGTTTACATTTTAACAGGTCAAGAGCTCCAGTTTGTTTCTGCTAATAGATTCTCCGTCGAATCCGTTTGAAATTCATAAACGAGGGCAACCAATTAACGTGAAGTAGTAGATATCCTTGTAGTTTCGAGACAATAGACGTTCAAAATTGTACGGCACGTTTCGCTTGTAAGGTCAACGTGCTGCGAGTCGCACCGTAATGAAGAATTTTAATCAGGTTTCATAATCGGTATACATGATGAAAGTATCAAAGCATTGGCAAACAAAGGATCACAGAAACACTCCTTTTCATTCCGCAAGCTTTGAATTTTCCCACAATCGACATGTTCATGATAGATATAAACATTTAAGCTTGTGAACAATGGCCTGAAAGTTCAACTTCGAAGATTCAAATGACGAAAAAGGAAATAAATCATTGACTTATTCTTCACTGAATTCGAGATTTTTTAATGTCATCAACCCAGAACGACGATATCGGATTGTGATTTTAAAGCCCATGTCCTCGTACAGCGTGGTACATTTCACACTTATTCCCCAATTATAATGTAAACAAAGTTGACGGCACAGCAGTCGAGGAAAACCAGATGAAAGGAAGGTTTTAGAATATAAGATCTTAATTCAGTCAAACTTTCGTAAACAGTATAACAAACAGGAGGCGATCAGTTTAGCTATAATTTGCCTGCAGATCTGCGCGAGATTTGTCACGGTATTTTAAAACACGAACAAGAGAGTTCTCAGGGAGATCCTATTGTGTTCCGTGTCATTCGATGCCGCCAAAGAATAACACTCGGTAAATTCTATTGTCTACAGTGAACACTAGCCGTGGTTTATTATTTATGTTGTATTGTATGTGATAAAAAAATTATGCAAAATCAATCATTTTAACATCATTTGAACTCTGAATTAAATCGAACTCTTTCCCTTTTCGCTTTTCGCAATCGAAAGAAATATTCATAAATAAAGTGGGAAGTCACGAAACTCGTGGTAACTGCCGAAGGACCGCCGAAAGACTGCCGAAGGACGTCGTTATTCACATTTGCTTGCGTTTCGCATTGCTTTTTCAACGCCTCTGGTGAACCAACTTGACAATACAACAACTGATAACCGTGACAAAATCCTCCGTAACGGTCTGTTCTAGATATTCAAGATCGAAATAAGTATTGAATTACAGTACCAATTTCGCGAGTTTTATTTCACCTTTTAACAGCTTTTAAGGCTCAATTGAGATTTCATTGGAGAAAAAAATCTCTCCATTTGATTTTTCATTCGAATCCGCTCTTTCGAGGTCCACAATACAATTACTACGACAAGATGTGATGTTATTATAACTTCGTGGTTCAGTTTTAATGTTCGTTTTTTTTTTAATGAATTTGCGTGGAGGATCTCCGGCAAAATATTACCAGTCTTTGAGGGCAAACATCTCGCGCAATCCCCCAGGTTGTTATCTGCTAAACATACCTTACAGAACTCATTCAAAGGTCGCCAACAATTTGCTAATGAGGCTTAAAATTAAATTTTTGCCCCGAAGTATTTAAGCTTCAGAATATCTGAATTCCCTGAAATACTCTAAGTAGTGTCAAATTGAAACAATTACGACCCCATGATTACGCTCCTTCTATTTGATTTGTAACAATTACAATTTTATTATCCTGTAGATATAGGCCATCATCATAGCCCAAAGTTAAGTCACGGCGACAAGCGAAATGGGTCCAAACAAAAGAACAAGGAGGAAAAACGTAAAGGTGATAAAGGTGTGTCGATATCTTTGTTAGTGAACTCATCGGAGGAACAGTGCTACAACCTCTCTCCGTTTTATCGGTTGAGGCTCTTTTTTAATTGCATACCCCCTTTGTTTTACTCTACGATTTTCATTTTGTTACAAAAAGTGAAGATGGAATCTTTCCCGAATCGAAACCTCTCCTAACTAGAAGGAAATTTAAAGCTTGGCGCTAAGATTTAATTTTCCATATTTGGAAAGCATACCCAAATCTGGTAATTTCGTTTTCTCTTTATTTTGACGTCACGCCTTTACGTTGAGCGGCATCCATGTTGGATTTCCTTCGCTGACATCTATGTGAGGTTGCAATCTTAGGCCATCCTGGCCTTTCATCTGTATTTGGTCTTTCTTTAGTGATAAATTCAGTTTTAAGACATCTATGTGTCGCTGTATAGGTGTATATTGCCGTTAATGCGATGGCAAGTGAGTATTTGCCGATGTCAAATACAAATCTCACATTGATATCGAAGAACTTGTCATTGTGAAGATGCTCATTATGATATTTTGTGTCTGCAGAGGATGGAGGAGAAGTACAGTGGTGCTTTTCACAGGTGAAAGGGACATTAGACGAGGATCTTACCGAAGGTAAAAGTGGCTCTAGCTTCGAACTGTTACTCGGTTAGGGATCAAGTCTGGTCTCTATGAAAGCTTAGACTAGTACTTTACGCAAGGTACAAATTTGTTCACTTGTACTTTAGAAGCAACCTCACCCGCCTACATCTTTATGATTTTCAGCTGATATAGTCTCCACTGTTGAATTTAACCACGATGGTGAGCTTCTTGCAACTGGTGATAAGGGAGGCAGGATAGTTATCTTTCAGAAAGAAGAAGCGGTAAGAATTTTTTTTAACAAATGACCGGTTGTTCAATCATTCCTGTAGGTGTTAACTGTGTTTTTCGTACTCGCTTTTCATGGTTTCACTTCTCTGTCAAATTGTTGTTCCAGCCGAAGGGATCACAGCATTATGGTGAATACAACGTGTACAGTACTTTCCAAAGTCACGAACCAGAGTTTGATTATCTTAAAAGTTTGGAGATCGAAGAGAAGATAAACAAGATCAAGTGGTTAAAGCGGCGTAACGCATCGCACTTTTTGCTTTCGACTAATGGTGGGTTTATTGTTTAATTTACTCGTTTTACCGTCATAACACCAACCGTTAATTAAGGAATAGGACTCGTGAAACTTAGATAAATGCCGGCTTGTCAGTTTCGTCCAGCTGACCTCAGATAGGTGTGTCAGCAGATAGTTTTGGTTTTGATATTGTACAGTTGTGTGGTAATAGTTCACTACGTGGGGCATATCTGATTTATCAGTCTCTTCATTAATCAAACAATTGTGTGACAGGGAAATGTTCTTGCATACAATTCACTCAGAAACCTGTTAGAATATAAACACTTGATTTCACTTTGGAATATTTGCATCCTAGAATGAAACTAGAGATAATGTGAACGTTTGAATTCTTGAGCTTTGAAAATGTTGTAGCATATATTACAGTAGAGAGACTTTCCTTACAACAGTTTCAAGCCCAAAACTAAAATCAAACTCTTTGTAGAATATTAACCCTGTAACCCCTAAGAGTGACTAGCATCCAATTTCTCCTTTCAATGTCACCCCTGAATCACTCATTAAGGCCACAAGAATAAAGGAAAGGATCACCAACTAAAGATGCTGTTGATTGTTAAACAAATTCTCCTTGTCAGTACACAGGAAATGTCTAGAAAACAGTATGGAAAATATGCCTAATAGTATTAGGGATTGAATGGTTAACCTTCAAAGCTACTTGTATTACTTGGTGTGACAAATTTATTTTAAAAGATCTGATAACAGCATAACTTCTAATCCCTTATCGCTTTCTTTCATTCTGAAATAAGCACAAGAGAAGGTTCCTTTTCAATTCATTTGTTGTAGTGTTAAAAATGTTTAAACTTACTGTGTTAGTAATAGCAGTTTACTTGGGACGATCTTTTTTTCATCACTGTTAACTTTGTTTAATGTGGTATATGTTACATTTGCTTATGCTAACTAGTTGTTGTAAAACCCTCTATGTATAGCTAAGTGGTTGTAATTTTAAAACCAGCCATCTTTCTCAGTGACGTTTCAGTGTTGAACAAAGTGCTTGGCTTTGAAAATGCTTATGCTTAAACATTAATGTACATTTTCATGGATTGAAATAATTAGTTATTTTTTGGTTTTTGCAGATAAAACTGTTAAGTTGTGGAAAATTTCTGAACGGTGCTTTGCTGCAAGTAACTTCAACCTGCGAGATGACCAGGGGGTACCAAGAAATCCTGAGGATGTAACATCACTTAGAGTACCTATTTTTAAGCCCTCTGAGCTGGTAGTGGAAGCAAGTCCTAGAAGAGTATATGCCAATGCACACACATACCACATCAATTCAATATCACTGAACAGCGATGATGAGACATACCTATCAGCAGATGATTTGAGGATAAATTTGTGGCATCTGGGGATAAATGATCAGAGTTATAGTATCCTTTTCCCTTATAGAGTAACTTTTTTAGTTATGAATTTGATTACTACTTAATTGCTTATTCTCTTTCTTTTGTGCTCCACTTCAAGTTTGTATAGTAAGCAATTGTTTTTTTGTTGATGTTGTTGCAAAGTGTGCCAGGAAAACTATTTTTATTGAGAGGACATGAATTATACAAGACATGATACTTGTGTAGTTAATGGGTAAAATTCAAAGTCTTTCTAATTTTTTTTTTAGTATTCATTATTGTTAGAACTGAAGTGGAACATATTGAGCTTTACCATGATTAATTGTCTGTCACATCCTGAAACCAATATCTGTCAGTTATGGACATGAGTATCTCAGTAATGTCAGTGCAATGAAATGTAAGTAGCCAGTTATTGGTACACAAGGCTCTGTGCATACCTTTTATCAAAAAAAGTGATGTAA